TCCTCGCTTGATACACAACTGATACAACCTCAAATAGTGGGTGTACCCGTGATCTTGAGGTAGCGTTCGTGGCCCGCAAGGTCGCTAAACATCACGAGCTTGTGGCTCTGGGACTCGATGCTGGACGCGTGGCGGCTCTCGAGCGTGTTGAATTTACAAATCTTGCCGTCCTTGGTCACGCCTAGCATATGATCCGCGTCGTCAGTAGTTGAGCCAGGTCGGCGAGGTCCAACCCATAATCTGCTCGCTGATGCTCGACGTCCGCCCGTCCTCGACTTCGTGCAAGTGGCTACGTGCGTGCTGAGGGCGCTGTGCATCGACGCATACAACGCACCGGAAGACTTGCATACGCGCCAGTCCATGGCCGTCGTCGAGGCAGCCGCGGGTGAGAACCCCGATGAGGGTCGACTTGCCGCTTTCGACACTGCCAATCACCGACACTAGCAATTCACGTTAGCACCGCAGCGTCGATGTGATGGATACCTCGCACTTGCTTCTTTGCATGCGTGTCGGCGATGCGCGAGATGCACACCCGCGCGGCCTTGCGCCCGGGCTCGTTGCCGTCGCGAAGCGTGACGAGCCGCATTTCAGCGCCGAGCACTTGGCACATGCGGTAGAGCGTGGCGAGGCTCATCTCGAGGTCTTTCGGAGACATGCCCACGATGCGACCGCCGTCTGAGACGCCCATCTCGTAGAAGGCTTCACCGTGGCCTTCGTTGAGGCGCCAGTTCATTTGCGTCACGAGGTGCTGGAAGCGCTCTACCTCGTCAGCGTCAGCACCATGGCGCTGCGAGGTCGTGTACCTGGCGACGGGTTGAGCAGCTGGACCTTGTACTCGACGTTGCCCTGCTCGACCTCGGCGGGAAGCACGTCCATGGCGGCTGCGCTCCGACGACAGGTTTCTGATTTTGAATCTTAGTGGGGTCATGTCCGGTTACATCTATTTGTATCCGGTAGGTCGGCGCGCGAACGCCAAGGTGAAACCACTCGAGAAACTTCTCTCGCTTCGCAGCGCGCCACGATGTTCTTGCGGTAAAAACGCGCCTTCGGATTGCCTTTAACGCCTGGCGACACAGGGTAAACACACGGGGTAATCAGGTCGTGCACAATCCAGTCAATCGGACGAGCAACAGCGCCATACCGAAAGGGTACATACCCTTGCAGACCGGTGCCGCCTGTTCCCGCCTTGAGCCCTCGCGCCCACAGCAGGCCCGTAACTTTGCAGGCGCTAAAGCTTTGGCTAATAGTCTGCGACTGACAACTACTGTAACCCGATGCGTCATCGGCCAAGTCTGGTTACGGGAGCTCTCTCACTGGAGCTCTCTAAGCCTTGCTGGCGCCACGGCAACGCAAGGAAGGTACAGGTGACTTCGCACCGAGGCGATTCATGACTACCAGGGATTGCATCCATTTACGGCAGTTCAGTTCGCGCGTATGAAGCCAAGATCGTCATTCCAGTCCAGGTCGTCACGTCGTGCGTTGCCGTCACGCAAATGGAGCGAAACACAAGGTTGTCATTCACACTGTTACTTGGAGTACTTGGTTCCGTTGGGCGCAGTGTACGTGGCGCTGCCTTGACCGTTGTTGTAATACGTCGAGCCGTTCGAGTTTCTATTTCATTCGCGATAAGAACTGATCGAGGTTGGGGCTGAGCGTACTGGTAGTAGTACGAGCCGTTCGAGTTCGAGTAGTGGTAGCTGTTGGTGTTGGGCTGCGAGACCGCGGGTGAGTTGTACGTGTTGCCTTGGGAGTTCGTACCGCGGGGCATGGCGATCGGCGTGGTCACTTGGTGGAAAAAGGATAAGTGGCGCCACTTGCTCAACGTGCACAAGAGAATGGACCAATCGCGTACGTGCTTCCACGGATTTCCAGCCAATCACAAGCGCAGCTTTTAAATTTTCTTCCCCCTTTCGCCACCATTCGGCACGTGCCACCCCAAATGTGTGCCACCTGCCTTGAAGTGACAGCACCACCTCACCAGACCAGACTGGATCTGGCGAGACAGCCACCACGCTCCATCAGCCCCATGAGGACACTAGGTATCCGAGTAATTCGAATGGAGTCGAAAGCGGAAGGTGGTGGCCCCGACGGGACCTCTAGCACCATGTGCAACTACCGTGCCACGGCGCAACCATACGCATGAGGAAGCCTGTCTGGATAGCTGATGTTCTCTTTGATACCACCAAGGGCATGTGCATGCATTCCAAGGAGCTATGCGCTTGACTGGACTACAACTGGAATGGTAGATGGACGATACCTGCCTGGTATGTAATATGCGCGAACCGGCGTCAATTGAGCTGGGTTGTAGAGCTGATGCGCACCAAACTCGTCCCTGCAGAAGGCATTGTGGTGCGCATCAATTTCTCACGCCGCCAATACCGGATTTTATCCGGTATTTTCGGCACTACGGGCTAGACGGCGAATCCGGATAAAGATCGACCTCGCAAGAGGCGCATGGACGCCGGTGGCTCGTCGTCGCGCGTCGCCCGCCTCTCTGCGCGGCAAGAGATGGAGGAGGTCGACCCATACAGCCAGAGCAACCAGTGGATCGAGGCCGCCGAGTACCACCGACTCTCGCAGCTCGTGGCCGCCGAGAAGGAGGCCGAGGCCCGCGCCGCCCACGCAGTCCCCGCCTTTGTGCACACCAAGCAGACGTGGCAGACGCCGCTGCACGTGCCAATGCCGAAGCGCAAGGTGGCGCAGATGGCGCTGCCCGAGGGGCTCAAGCCAATGGCGCCGCCCAGCAACAACGGCGCGCGCCCGAGCCAGCGGACGCGCCGGCTCCAGGAGCACGGCCAGACCATCGAGCAGCGGTACGCTCATCGCTGCCGCTTGACGTTGCATCCATCCATGTGTGTAGTGCAAGCTTGGAGAAGCTCAAGGACGACAACCAGGAGCTGTATGCCAAGCTCGTTGCGCGCTTCCGTCCGCGGACGCCGGCGGCCGGGAGCCCCGTCAAGGTCGGCAGCCTCGCGTCCGTGCACTGTATCGAAGACGCGGTCTTGTACTTCCTCTGCGAGAAGCACCGGCGCAACGTACTTTACTTTTCGGCCGCGGACCCGGCGCGCGGCCGCCCGTACGACTTGACGCCGGCGACGTCGGGGAAAGGCGAGCATTACGTCCTGTCGTCCAAGCACGTCGTGCATGTCAAGCCGCGAGAGCCCGCCGAGTGCATCCCGATCGCCGAGTGGGTGTACCACAGTCGGATGTTTGACCACTTGCTCCGGAGCATCCCGCTCTTCCAGCAACTCCTTCGGCGCCGCATGTTCATGTACTGGCAACATTACGTCCGGCAGCGCATTTACCGCCGCACGCGGGCGAATCTGCTTGCACAGCTGCATTGCGGCCGACCGATGTATGCGTTAGCGCTGCGCGAGATCCAATCGCTGAGCCACTGCATCCAGTCGCAGCGCGCGCTCTGTCTTGACGCGACCAAGCCGTCCATGTCGCTGGCCGAGTGGCGCAGCGCGCAAGCAGCCCAGTACAAACGCTTTGCCATCATACTTCTCCAGCTCGAATTTCATGCCATAGGTTCAAGGAGCTCGAGGCGCAGCTTGTGGACGCGCGCGCAGGTGCCCACCACGCCTTGGTGGACCTCGTCGCGGCCATTCAAAGCGCGTTGACACCCGACACGACGCTCGCCGCGCTGAATGCAGCCGATATGTTTGAGATGCGCCAGGCGTATCCCGGCTGGAAGTCGATTCCGATGGCCCATCTGAAGGCCGTGACGAGGGACCAGGCGCGCCAAGTGCAGCAAGCGCAGAAAGACTTGGCTGCCTTTCCAGCCTTCCTGCGGCTCACGCAGTACATCTTTGTGCAGTCGCTCTACGCCATGGTACGCTGCTTCATGGAGAACGATGGCCCGCTCAAGAACGGTACCTAGGTCATGGCGTCGGTGACGCAGGTGGCGGCGCAGCTCTCGCAAGAAGTGCCCCGATCGCTGACGGTGGCCGTGAGCTTTCTCCAAGACGCGCGCGTACGCTTGACGCCAAGCGACGCGGACGTCCTTCGGTTCCTTCGCAGCGCCATCGAGTCGCTCACGACGCTCTCGAGTGGCTTTGCTTCGAGCCGTAGCGCGGCCGTGTACTTGAAGAGTGACGAAGTCGTCGGTCCGTCGTCGCCGCCGCCGCGACTGCATGATGCTCTTCACGCGAGCGCTGCATTTCCCGCCCTTGTCGTCGCGCTGGAAAGCAGTGTGCGTGCCACGTTTGCGCGCGTCTCGCAGCAAGTCGAACAGTTCAACGGCCTCCGGCCCATCTACACAGCGATGCTGGCGCTCACACTGCCGACAATCGACGAGGCAACGTACTTGGCACAGCTACCGACGCTCGTGTCGGCCATCTCGACCCAGGTCATGCAGCTCGATGCGTGGCAGGGCCAGTGCCATCGCATTCAGGTATGTCATTGTGACAGTGCATCACGTCATCATCGCCCAGGCGAGTTGGGACGTCGGGTTTGTCGACGTGCACTGCCGGCACGTGCTCAGCGAAGTGCTCGAGCGCATTACGGCGCAGCGCACGCAAGCCCTCGACGTGCTTGGCGACGTGACGAGCCGGGGCGTGATGCACTGCGTGACGCACCTCAAAGACGCGATCGTGCTCTTTGACGAGCGGCCGCAGCTGATTCGGGGTTTTGCCACCAAAAGAAGCAGACGCGGCTCGTGCTGGACGCCGAGATGACGCTCGTCAGCGAGATGCGACAAGTCGATGACGCGTTTGGTCGGCTCAAGTCGCTCGCGCCGCCCATGGCCGCGGCGCTGCAGAGCGCGTACAACAGCATCCACGCCACGTACGCCAAGTACAATGTGAGCTTGCAAGCCAACCTCAAGTTTACGAAATCGATGCTGCCGCAAATCGCAAAGCAAATCGTCACCTTGCTCCAGCGCTACGCGGTGCAGTGCAAGAAACTCTCGGTCGCGCTCCAAGCCAACGGAACCTATCTGCACAGTCCTTCCAGCAACGTTGACTTTGACGCCAAGCACGCGACGTTGCGAGGTCTATTTTCCATCGACTCTACGCGGTTTGATTGATGGTGTAGACATCAAGGCTGAGCTCGACAAGATCACAGAAGCCTCAGACCAGTACAACGACTACCAAAGCGTCATGGTGCGATGATCCCTGTTGCTCCAAGATTGTCATGGCGCGCAGGGGATGAAAGTGACGCCAGTCGCGCTTCTTGAAGCGACAAAGAGTCTCTATGCGGAAGTGCACGAGGTGTGGGACCTTAGCCATGCGTGGAAGCAAGCGTATGCAGGCATGCTCCAGGCCAAATTTGTGTCCCAGCCGTGGGCAAGTACGTCCCTTTTCTTACGTTTCTCTCGAGCACTTTGACGACCAGCGAGGCTCTTAGGTCATGTTGAGACGACCCGCGCCTTTCTGGAGCGGTACCTTGCTCACGTGATGCCGTCGTCTTGACCGCGATGCTGTCTGTAGAGCCCACCAGGTGCACTGCCGTTTTGAGAACCGGATTTTCGCTAGCGTCCAAGCTGAGATGGCGACCGTGCTCGCGCAGTTGCCGCTGCTCGTCGAGCTTGGCGCTGACTACATGAAAGAGTCGCATTGGACCCAAATCTTCAAGGTTCTCGGCACGACGCCGCTCCATGTGCCGAGCATGACGCTCCAGCAGCTCGATGACGCGCTCGTTTGGCGCCACGCCGAAAAACTGTCGCAGATTGCGTATCACGCGCGCATTGACGCCGAGACCGAGGCGACGCTGGCGGCCATGAAGGCGCGCTGGGCCGTCACCGAGCTGCCGTGCGCGGACGCGGAGCTCGACTCGCTCGTCGTTGGCGACCTCTTGCTGGCCTTGGACGACGACCTCGTACAAGTACAGGCGCTATTGCAGCGCACGTCGCAGCCGTCGCTCTACACTTCGCTCTCGGTGTGGAGCGACGAGATCAACTACATTCAAGACACACTGGAGCTCTGGCTCTCAACGCAGACCGACTGGCTGCAGCTCGATCGCCTCTTTGCGCTGCCCGACGTCCAGGCGAATGTTCGCCACGCGAACGTCGAGTTTCAAGCCGTGAGTCGCAAGTGGCGCGGCATGATGAAAGGCGTCCGGTCGACAACGTCGCTCCAGCAGTGCGTGCGCGAAGTCACGAACCGTACGCACCACTCTGCCACCATGCTACATGAACCGCAGTGGCTATGTACTAGGTGCGTTTCTGAGCGAGACCAAGCAGCTCTTTGAGCGGCTTTGGAAGCAGCTCGCGAACTTTTTACAAGACAAACGACGCGCGTTTCCGCGGCTCAACTTTGTCTCAGACCGGCAACTGCTGGCGATCATGGCGGCGACGACCGAGAGCCTTCGGGATCCGAGCGACGGGCACTGCCGCCACGTGAGCACCGTGCTTCGCATCTGCTTTGAGCACATACTGGAGGCAACGGTCAAAGTGCGGGCGACCCCCAATCAGAGCCTGCTCGGCAGTACATTGAGCGCCGACGATTTCCCGACCGGCCTCACGCCCGTGGCCTCCGTGGGCTCTCTGGATATACCCGAGATCGAGCGCAACACCACAGACATTGTCTGCGTCGGCGGCAAGTACAACGAGGTGTTGACGCTCGAGAGCCCGATCACCGTGACGCAGCGACCCGAACTCTGGATGCAGGATTTGCTAAAAGCACTGCATCAGTCGCTCCGGGACTGTGTCCGCGACGTCGCATCCGACGACGCGACGAACGCTGTGCTGCAGCTGTACATTGACGGCGACAACCGTGGTAGGCTCCGAGTCGATACAGACGTGGAGGCATCGTGGTGTTGTAGCCGACATGACGCGCGCGATCAAGCGCATGGAGCACGTCGTGGCCAAGTACCCGCTGCAAGTGCTTTTGCTGGCCTTTCGCATCTACTTTACCGGCGACTGCAGCCAAGTGGTCGCGGGGCACGCTGCGTATACGATGGTGCGCCAGCAACAACTCTGCCGCGTACGACCATGGGATTGCAATTGTGGTCGGCAATATATTTATAATGGTGTAGGCGAACGAATGGGTCGCAGCGCTCAAGGCTGCGACGACGGACAAGCAGCGGCACGCGTGCAGCACCCTGGCGCTGTGCTGCTTCAACCACGCCGAGCTCCTCGGCCGGTACGCGGCGAGACGGTGGCCATGCAATGAAAATGGTCTGGGCTGTAGGCTGCACGCCACGCCCCACGCAGCGTTCGAGTGGAGTCAGCAGCGCCAGTACCGCTGGGGCCACGAGAGCCAGACCGTGCTCGTCACCCACGGCCTCAAAACCTATGAATACGGGTACCTCCCTACTGTCGGTAGAGAATATACACACTGGCGTAGCTTCGAGTACCTCGGCCCGCACGCAACGATTGCGCTCACGCCGCTCACGGAGCGCATCATGTGGAGCGTCTCGATGGCGTTTCGATTGCACGCCGGTGGCCTAGTGCACGGTGAGACAGGCGTGAGCAAGCAAGTGGCGATCCGGGAGCTTGTCGCGAGCTTGGGGTCGCTCCTCATCACGTACGACTGCTCGATCCAGCTCTCCGAGACGCAGTTCCATCGCGTTTTGAGCGGCCTCATGCCGTGCCAAGCCTACGCGCTCATCGTGGGTCTCGGCGCTGTCGACGACGCGTCCGCGATCGGTCGTTTCCTGCACGAGCTACGGCGGCTTCAGCACGCCCTCAAGACGCACAAGGACAAGATTCTAATGGAGTCGTCGCACGTGCCGCTGCATGCGCACGACCGGTCGAGTGTCAACTTTGGCATTGTGTGCAAACTGACGCTGTCGACGCCGGTCATCTCGCCGCTCGTGGAGCGCTGCGCCCGCGCCTTTCTCCCGATTGCGGCGTCGTTTGAGATGTTGGACGCGCTACTAGTGGCGCGGCTTTGCTTGTCCGCCGCAGGATTCCTCCACGCCGAGTCGCTGGCGACGCGACTGCATGCGTTCCTCTTGACGAGTGAAGCGGTCGCGGGCGGGGACCGCGTTACCGTGCGCACCATCAAGAAGATCGTTGACCTCGCCAAAGCGTATGGCGGCGAAAACATGTACGAACCGACACTTTCATGCGACGCACTCAGGATTACGCTAGCGACGAAGGGCATGCCGTCGCGTGGGCCATCCAGCGGGCGATGGGAGCCCGCGTCGCGCCGAGCTTGCAGCGAGCGTTTCTGCAGCAGCTGCGCGAGCGCTTCCCGACCTACCGCGACGTTGAGCTCGACATTACAAAGACACAAGCACGCATTCAAGACGCCATTGCGGCCGCGCACTTGGTGCTGACACCCGTTCTGAGCCGAAAAGTGCACGAGCTCCACCATCTCTGCGGCCACCACGCTGTGAATATCATCACGGGTGCAGCCTCCCTCTTCTTGACGCATCGTGGAAATGCCATGTGTAGGCGCCGTCGGCACGGGCAAGTCGACGATCGTGCATGTGTTGTCGACCGTCCGCCGCACATATGGCGAGTCCGCGCCATGGGACCGCGCGCGCTGCTACCGCATCACGTCGGCCACGCTGCGCACGACCGAGTTTTATGGCCATGTACGCCAGGTTACCTTGATATTTTGATAGTTGACCCTGGAGGTGTAGTTTGCGCCCGAGACCAACGAGTGGGTTGACGGCATTGTGACACGGTTTGTGCACCTCGTGTCGGCGCCGGACGCGCGGCCGCCAAGCGCGATGCCGTGGCTCGCTTTGATGGCGACGTCGCAGACGCGTGCATGGAGCCGCTGTACGCCATCTCGGACGAGACGCCGCACGTGCACCTCCCGAACGGCGAGCGCCTCGACACGTCATATATCAAGCTCTTTTTCGAAGCCTCGTACGTCGATGTCTTGCGTGTTGGTATCAAGGGGCGATGCTAGCACGCTCGAGCGCTGGTCACCCGCGGCGCTCAACCGGTTTGGCGTCCTCACTGTCCCGAGCGACGCCGTGCCGTACACCGTCTATATCAAGGCATGGCTTTTGCGCCAGAGCTTGCCGCCGTCGTCGTCGCGCCACGTGGACGCGGCCAAGGGCTGTGCCCAGCTGCTGCGGTCGCACCTCCCGTCGCTCTTGCAGGTGGGCCGCGAGTATTGGCAAGCCCACGTCCCATTCCATGCGCCGACGCTCGTGCAGAAGCTGCTCGAGATCGTCGACAGCTTCTTCCACGACGCGCCTACGATCGCCAAGGACGTTGTGCTCATCTACCTCGTTGCGTGCGCATGGAGCATTGGCGCCTACATTGACGAAGACGCCCGAGCTCTCTTCCACGACGTACGGCGTTCGATTCGATGGTAGAATATCTGGGAGACGATCGAGCGTGTAGGCACTTCGCGCCCGAGCTCGCGCGCCACCGCCTCTTTGCGTCCGGACGCACGATCTTTGACGTGTACCTGGAAAACGACAAGGGCAAAGTGGCGCTCGTGACGTGGCAGAGCCAGATGCCGCGCATGGACTGGGCCAGCTTGGTCCACCACCGTTTCGTGTTTGTACCCAACGAAGTACGGGCTTATGGCTGTGGCACAAACTTAGTCCAATTTGCGTGCGTAGGCGACGCTGCGCACCGAGCACTTGGTCGAATTCTTTGCCTCGACGCGGCGACACGCGCTGCTGCTTGGTGCCCACGGCGTCGGCAAGTCGGCGTCGGCCCAACGGTCCCTTTGGCAACTTGGGAAGCGCGGCTGCGTCGTGTCGCGACTGTACATGGAGCCATCCATGAGCGCGCACCAGTTCCAGGCAGGCGATCCACACTGTACGGCGATGCAAAATAGTGTGCTGTAGGAACGGGTCGTCGTCGACTTGGAGCGCAAGATGAAAGGGCTCTACGGACCGACGACGGGCAAGACGGCCATGGTGTACCTCGTCGAGGATCTGCACTTGGGCTCGTCGGTATACAGCCGACTCACCGTACTCCCATCATCCGCTGTACGTAGACGAGCCACGAGCAGCTGAGACAAGTGCTCGACACGAGTAGCGTGTACGACCGCCGGACGTTTGATGTGATGCAGCTCCAGCACTGCGCGTTCCTGGCGCTGCTGTCCGTACCGACGACGACGTCGCTCTCGTTGCGTCTTCTTCGGCATTTTCACGTGGTCTCGCACTGCAGTTCACGAGCGGTTTACTTTAACAGCGGGTGTAGGTCTGGCAGCCGCACGTGCCGCCGCGATCGCTGCACGCCGTCTTTCGACCGCTCGCGACGTACATGGCCGAGCACTTTAGTACCAAGTACACGGCCGAGATGGCGTGGCAGGCCCTCCAGCTGCCGCTGCAGGTGCTCGAGCTCTTGGTGCAGGAACCTCGCGACGCGTCGTTTGCGCGCTTCTCGCTCGGCGACCTCGTGCTTGTCTACTCGCACGTCCTCCGCGCGAACCAAGCGAATTTGGACGCCAAGTGCCATCTCGAGAGCCTCGTGTTCAACGTAACGAGCGTCGTCTTCGGCAGTCGCTGCACGCGCGGCGACGCCATCTTCTTTAAGAAACTGGTGCCGTCGGTCGCCACGACGCTCGACTACGACGCTGTGAGCTACGTCGAACGACCTCTGTACGGCGACAAGACGGACGGACTCGGGTACATTCCGCTCACATCGCGGGAAGCGATCGGTCTCTTCATCAAAGGTGACGGGTCTCCTCCGCTACAGCACTCAGCGTGTCGTAGGCCATGAGAAATTTCAGTGGCACCACCCGGCGTTCCAGAGCCCGCTCGTCCAGCACCTTGCGCCGTTTCCAGAGGCGATTGATGCGATGTTGGCGATGTTGTTTGCGCTGGGGGATCTGCGCCAACACCTCCTCCTACTTGGTACATTGATACTTTAGTTGGACGATGCGAAAGCTACCTTGCGTAGGGCCGCGTGGCGTCGGCAAGCGCACGTCGCTCGTCGTCGTCTGTGGTATCCTCTCGTACAACTATGTTGAGATTCGCCGCGGCCATGACGTCGAGGCGCGCCTTCGCGAGGTTCGTAAAAGGCGATTCTGGAAGATGGAACTATCGTTTTTGTAGGTGCTTGTGCAGGTGGGCACCCATGGCAAGCACACCGTGCTCTACATCGCCATCGACGAGCTCGACGCCGCCAGCACCCGGCTCGTGCTGAACCTTGTTCGCGACGGCGATGTACCCTTGGAGGTCTACTCGACCGAGAACATGGACGCGATCGCCGACGGCATGGCGCAGCTGCCGTCGCTCGCCAACACCAATCCGAGCAGAGCGCAGTGCTTGTCGCTCTACCGCGCGCATTTGGCCACGTACTTGCACGTCGCGGTCGCCACACGGTACGCAAATAAGGCTGCCACGAACGGACCGGAAGTGATCGAGTGCGTAGGACCGAAGCACGCCTGGCGACGCTCTTGGCGCAGACAAGTGGGCTCCTCGACGCGTGTACACTGCGGGTGTTTTCGCCGTGGTCGGCGTTGGCGTTTGGCGCAATCTACGAATCCATGAACGTCTTGCCAACGCTGCAGCCGGTCGTGTGGGCCATCCACGCAGCGTACTTGGAGCTCCGGCCAGGATCCAGTGCCTCGCGCAATCCCGCGAGTCAGTTTAAACAGTTTGTGCTCGGCCTCGCGTCGTACCACGTCGAGCGCACCAAGGCGATTCACGACACGCGCGCCTCGTACAGCCACGGTCCGACTTGATACGTCGATAGGTTGATACAAAAACGATGTTGGATTAGGTCTGAAGATGATGCAGCAGCACACGAGTGCGATCAAGGCCATGGGGTCCAGTGAACGCATCCTGGCCAAGAAGCTGCGAACGCTGGAAACCAAGTCGGAGCAGCTCCAAGCACGGTAGTCTCTACTACGCTGCACGAATCATCATAGGATAGCGGTGGTCAGGTACGACAAGCTCGTGGTGGCCGAGAACCAAGCGCGTGCGGTCCTCGACGCCAAGAACGAGGCGTACACGCGCATGAAGCGGCAGCTCGATCACGAGCGGCTTTTGATCCAAGCCGAGCTCGATCAGACCGTGCCCGAGCTTCAGACCGCGATCCAGTCGCTCAGTCGCATCAATAAGCTCCATATCACCGAGATGAAGTCGTTCACGTCGCCGCCCGACCTCGTGCGCCTCGTCATGCAAGCCGTACGTGCCTTTTAAGCACCCGTTTCATTGGTCGTGTATAGGTGTGTGTGCTGCTCGGTCTCGGCGCAGCGCCGACGTGGGAAGACGCGCTGTTTGTACTATGCGACATGAAGTTCCTCGACCGGCTTCGGTCGTTTGATAAGGACAACATCCCCGACGCGTACGCACCTTTGTCATTTCAACTACTAGTACATTTTACGCGTTGCCTAGGGTCATGAAGAAGCTGGAGCGCGTGATCCAGCATCCCAAGTTCACCGAGGACGAGATGAAGCGCGCGTCCATTGCCTCGACGTCGCTCTGTCGGTGGGTACTCGCGCTAGCACGCTACCACCGCGTCATGACGATCGTCCGGCCCAAGCAAAACACGCTCGACGCCGCGGAGCGCAACTTGGTGCGTGGGATTTGTATCAACTTGATAATAGTGGATCCATGAGGATATGCTTGCAGGACCGCGTGCAGCGCGAAGTGGACGTTGTCCGCGCAGCGTGGACGACGCACGAGACGGCGGCCAACCAAGTTCAGCTGGCGTGGCACGAAAACGAGGCGCTGCGAGGACAGCTCCAGCACGACTACGACGAGGTCGTTGCGCGATTGGAGTCGCTCGAGCGTGTCAAGATGGCGTTCGAGAGCCTCAAGACGATCTTGCGCAAGGAAAACCACCGGATCCAGGCGCTCGACCAGGCGTCCTTGGGGTCTGACACTGCTCCACGAGACAATGGATATCCACGCACTACTATGTAGCGACTCGGTGCTCTTGACGGCCATCTCGAGCTACATCGCCGACGTCCCATCCAGCGACCGGACTGCGCTCGTGGCGCGATGGAGGCAGGTGCTCACAGACGCAAGCATCGCCTGCAGCGACGACCTACTGGCGGCCATGATGGGTGAAGGCAGCCTCCAGGAGCTCCGCGCGACGTGCGTGATTGCCGACGCAGGTATTGCCATGAACCTCTTGTACCTCCAGCGCTGGAAAGAGGCGCCCAAGCTGCAACACGTGTTGCTTGTCGATCCGCACGTACGACGCGCCGGGACGTAGGTCTGTGCCTATACGTGGACTAGGGCATTGCCGTCCATTGGATCAAGACGGTCGAGCGGCTCTCGGTCGAAGCCGTCTCGGCGGACGACCCGATGCTGCTCGCTCGGTTTGAAATGTCGCCGCCCAACCCCAACTACATTGTACTTTTCTCCTGCAAGCGAACCGTTTGAGACGCGGCGTGTAGCTGGTCGTCGACCGGGTTGCGCAGTGCAATGAAGGCAGTCTCTGGGCATTTCTCCAACTCCTCACGCTCAAGAAGCTCCGACATCCCGTGTACTTTGTTGCTGACTGCAACGTCAGCGCACACTGGAGCACCGAGGCACGTATCTCGACTCGAAACGCGTCTTCTCATCCTCGGTCGGTAGCTACAAGAAGCGTTTACGACCATGAGCTTTGAATTGCGCGCTGCCGACTTGGAGACGCATATTGTCTCTGGTTTTTACACCCACTTCTTTCCCGGCGACGATGTACGTTGGAATAAGCCTCTCTCGGTATTGGATGCGACGCGGCGTAGAACCAACTGCGGCTGCTCCAAGAAGCCCTGCGCGACGACATGCGACACCGATCGGTGGCACTTGACGGGCTCTTGCGGCAGCTGAGCAGCCCCGCGCTGCTCATCAGCAACGACGAGATCGCGACGCTGTCGGGTCAAATGGACGCACTCACGACGCTTGGCCGATCGATCGACGCCAAGGAAGAGTCGATCGCGGGCCTCGAAGCCTCGCGCGATCGCTTCCGCCCGTACAATCTCTCTCCCCATTGCATTGTATTGAATGTCGAGTAGGCTCGGGCGACGGGGCCGCGCGCTTTTGGAAGCGACCAAAACGTTTGGCGGCAGCGTCCAAGCGTTCTGCGTGCTCGAGGACAGCATCCGGCAGCTCAACGACGTTGATGGAGACAGCGCTGTCGACGACGTGGCGCACGAGGTGACGGTCGCGTACCTCCAGACGATCCTCCACGGGCTGCCCGAGCACCAGCACGTGGCCTTTACGTTCTATGTGGCGCTCGCAATCGCAGCAGCCGAGCCGGGCGGCGACGACCTCGTGCCTCTCTGCTGGATCGAGCTCCAGCGCAAGACGCGCCTCGGCGTCCCCGGCATCCATCTTCCGATCGACGTCTTCTTCTCGTCGCCGACGAGGACGCATCAAGTCGCCACCGACGTCGTGCAGATGGCCATGCGCCACTGCGTGGCCAAGCAGCTCGCCGCGCTCGTTCGTCGCCGCCCGCAAGCGGTACGACCTTGGCTTCGGCTTGAAAGGTCTTCAAACTATGGTGTTTGTAGCTGACGATGGCCAACGTCCTGTCGGGCGACGCACGCCACGTCTTTCGCAAGGACGGCGGTCGCCATCCGGTCGAGATTACGCGCTTGCTGCGCAACGTGCAGTCGCTCGTGGCGCTGCCTTCGTTTGGGCCGCTCCTGGACGACATCGATGTGCACACGGACGCGTACATTGCGTACATGCAGGCGACGCCCCGCTTCTTCCAAGACATGCCGCGGACGCGCTTCATGCAGCAGCTGCCCGCGGTCGCCAAGCTCCTCTTCATCGTCCTCTCCCACGACTTGATTGTACGGCGACCTGTTTTGGTTTCCGATCTGGAGAGATGGTTTGGTAGGTCCCTCACATGATGCAACAAGTCGTGAACGCCTATGTGCCCGAAATCAACTACGAGCTCCTCACGGTGCCCGTGATGGTCGAAATCACCGACGGCCACCGGCCCATCTTGCTGCAGTTTGACGCCAACAGTGTCGTCCACCCGCTCTGGGTGCTCATCGAGGTACCGACCTCCTTCGCCAGCTATCGTCTCATGGCACGCAGACGGCGCTGAGCCTTGGCATCCGAGACGCCGACATCTGGTACTTTTCGCTCGCGGCGCCCGACGTCGTGCCTGCTTGTCTCCGCGCGCTCAAGGACGCGTGTGTGCACGGTGGCTGGCTCATTCTCCAAGTCGAGTGATACCTGCCGTCTGTAGAGGCTGATATTTCCGTGCGATAGGATGTCGCGAAGCTCTCGGCCAGCGATCTCATGGACCTCAACCGCCAGTTCTCGCTGCTGTCGAACGGCGATCTCTCGATCCACAGCGACTTTCGCCTCTGGTTGGTCGACGAGGCGCCGTCGTCGCTCCTCGCGCGGCTTCCGAGCGCCAAGCTGCACACGTTCTTCTTCAACATTGTATTTACGCTCCAGAACCCGCTCGAGGCGAGTGTGTCACCGACGCGCCACGCGCTCCACCTCTTCCACGGGATCGCACTCTCGGGCGCGCATGGCGTCCACGTCGCCTCGCCGTTCTACGCGCCGGTGACGCTCTATGAGCTCGAGAAGGCAGAGTTTCTGCTCGAGTGCCTCGGCGACAACCACGGGCTCTCGAGCGACGAGCTCGCATCTCTGATCGCGCCGCTCTATCACGGCAAGAGCTCCGATCGCAATGTTCAGAAGCAGTGGAGTGCCCTCGCGCGGTACATCTTTAAACTCGGGACGGCAAGCGATGCGGGAGAGCAAAGCCATTGGCTCAGTCGGCTAAAGCGCGGCCTGCGCCACCATGCAGCCACGACGCGTGGCACGAAAGGTGCAACCTGTCATGTCCCGTACAGAGTGTCATTGTCAATGCGCCTTTAGACGGCACGCGCCGATCCTGCGACGTGCTCTTACCAGTCGACACCAAGATCTCGGCGGCGACCATGGGGCTTCCCCACTCGCTCGACGCCTATTTCGAGACGCAGACGATGCTGGCCGTCGCCTCGACGCTCACGCAGTCCTGCGTACGTACTGCTTGCTGTATCTTGGTGTTGTAAGCGCCGCTGACGGAGCGTAGGCTCTGCATATCGACTGCAAGGCGCCTTCGACGCCCGTCGACGACCTTGCCGACGCGCTGTTGGTACGTCGTCGAGTTGGCGCCGACTGGCGACGGCAATGGTGTGGTAGCTCCAACTGCCGCGCGACTCGGTCTTTACACATTGCGACGCGCGCAGCACGTTTCTGGATCGCAAGTGGCCGTCGCGCGTGCACAAGGCCATCTACAGCGAGCTCGTGCACATGGAAACGTACGTGGGGCATCTGCAGCGGGATCTGCGCTCGCTCTCGCACGAAACGGCGAGTGCCATCGCTTCCCAGCGGGTACCGCCGTCGTGGCTGCGAGCCGGGTACGCCTGTCCAATGACGCTGGTGCGATTTGTGGCGTGGGCGCAGTCGGCTGCGTCCTTCTATCTCGAGTTCCTGCATACGCAGCGACTTCCCGCTCTCCAGCTTCAGTTTGTCGCCCACCCGCGAGGTGCGAATGGATGCCGATGGGATTGTGAATACCACAGTTGACGCCATAGCGGTGCTCTTTGCGCTCCTGGTCGCCCACGCCAGAAGCACGGGCGTCGACATCTCGGAACTGTGTCTGGCGGTCGTGCCTCCGTCGACACCAACGGCTACGAGCCTCCGCAACCTCTTTCTGCGCGTACGACGATCGACCATCTGCAGCAATGTCGTCGGTCCCTTCATGTTGATGCTAGAACGCGCGCTGGGACGTGTCCAAGCACATGCTCTGCGAGCTGGCGAGCGATGACTGGCTCATCCAAGGCAGCCTCTCGCTACAGTACGAGCCTTTCGAATCTGCGTCGTGTCGTCACCACTCGCGTAGGATCGCGGCCTGCCCAAAGTCCGATCTCCGAGGGTTCTTTGCCTGCCCCGTGTACCGCTACTACGCATCCAGCGGCGCTGGCCCGCCGCCATCGACGAGTCTCCTCCATCTCTACTTCCCGACGACCGAAGCGACGACGCTCTTGGAGGCGAAAGGTGTCGCCGTCGTCCTCAACGAGGCCGAGTAGATACAGTCCACAATTGAGGTTACGCGTCAATGCTATGGAAGCGAAAGTGAGCGCCAAGGCAGAGAGGGCAGGTGCGGTCCGGGAGGCACCAGTCGTGGTAGGCGTGGCCGCACGACAGCAAGATGGTCTCCATGGTCTTGCCATCTATCACATCCTCTTTTTTCAAGCATGCAAGCCCCATAGCTGCGTACCTTCTTGGAGGTAGACGAGCGGCAGGTCGCAGACAGCGCACTGCGAGTCGTGCAGTTGGATGTCGCCACCCCAGTCGCTGTTGCGCGACTCGTAGCTCCGGTGCAGCAATTTGGTACCGGCTGCGTCGTCTTTGGCGCTGTACGGCGTGTAGTCGGGCATGTCCGTGTCCCACGTGTCGTAGAACCCGCTCTCGATGCGGAAGAGCGCTTCGACTTGGGGTGGAAAGGCGAGGTGGTGCCGCCGACTGCACGACCAGACGTACGTATCAATTCCTTCGAGCATGCGCCCCACCTCTTGCAGCTGTCTACACACTAGATATAAGATCTGTAGCTCATGTGGCGTCGATGGTACCGCTGGTGGAGGCTCTGCGCGGCAACGACGGCCTGGTAGAGCTCGAGCGGTGCGATCGCAATGAGCGTTGGGTACGCTGCGAGGAGCTCCATCCCGAGCGTGACGCCGCACGCGTCGAGCATCGCATGTAGGAGCGGGACAAAGGCCACGTCTTTCTGCGTGAGCTGGCAAAACGCCTCCATCTCTTCGAGCACGCAGTGCAAGAGCGGTGTCGGGTTGGGTAGCACGGCAATGCGCTCAAAGAGGCCGGCGAGCATGGCCAATCGCGACGGGGTGTCCGACTGCAGCATTGTATATACCAGCGTCCGTAGCTCCGACGTCCTAAGAGGTAGAGAGGTACTACAGAAGCGCTTCTAACGACACGTACCCGGCCCGACGAGACGACGGCTGCGCGATTGCATTGAGCACGAGCTGGAAGACGCCGTCCCACATGTCGTGCTGCATACAGAGGTCCCATGCGCTTGCCCGATCAAAGGCGAACGTGTCGGGCGCTCCGAGGATCGTGAGCAGCAAGGCCACGTCCGCGTCGTCTGCGTGCGATTGGTTGAAAAAAGCACGAGCCAGTGCTCCACCAGCGTCGACCGGCGGCCGACGCCGTCGTGCGCACTCGACAAGAGCGCGCTGAGGTACGCAAAGTACGTGTCGTTGCCGGGGGCGTCACGTGTGAGCTCGAATTGCGAGCCAAAGAGTGCTGTCTGGACGTTCCACGGAGTCACACACGGGTAGCGCTCAACGCACCACGCGATCGCCGCGGCTGGCGCCTTCTTTAAGAGCACGTTGAGCACGTGCAGACAGACGCAGAGGGAGGTGTACTGCGAGAGGTCGAGCACTTGCTTTTCGGCGACGGCCATGAGGAGGTCATCGCACGCCTGCGCCAAGCTCTCGCTGGCAATCGCGAGGTTCAGCACCGTCTCGAGACCGGCCGCGTGCTCGAGCGCCGAGCACACTTGCGCGGCCATCTCCAAGTGTACATAGTTGCCATACTTGGTGAGAAAGGGCTGTAGTTTCGGTGACGGCGACGGCGTCAGCGGCACGGAGACCAGCAGTGAAATGCCAAAGTCGTCCATGCGCGTCCGGTTGTCGAGCACGAAGGGCGTATTGGCTGGCTCAATCGAGAGCGGAACGTCCGCGTGCAAAAGGAAGTAGAGGGAGACGAGCGACCGCACGAGGCGCCAGTCGTGACGCGTGAGCGGTAGCTCTTCTTCGATCGGCGCCGGGGCTGCCATTTTCGACCGCTTGATGAGCTCGATGGCCTTGCGCTTCTCGATGACGGCTGCATCGAGCGACGGATCAAAGGTGCCGAGCCACTGGCGCAGTAGCTGCGTCGCTCGTGCCAAGTCACCTTGGTGCACGAGGTGGTTGACGAGGCACGCAGCCGACCGCGTGAGGTGCACAGTCGGCCACAGCATGAGCTTTTGGTGCTGGTCGGCGTCCGCGACACGCGCTGCAAACTCGGCCTCAACGTCTGGCAGCGGGCGGGCGAGGATCGGCGCGATCTCGGGCGACTGCTGCATCGCACCACCCACATGCCACTTCCAGTCGACGTGCGCAGCCGGGTACACGCCCATTTGGCGCTTGACCGTGCGCTGGATGAGCGACCGCTTGGTCTCCGAGAGCGACCGGGCGCGCGCCATGAGCTTCTGGGGGCTCTCGATCAGCGGTAGCGTTGTCGCGTCGTCGCCACTGCTGCTACCGGACGTCGGCGGTTCGGGCAGAGGTGTCGCCTCGAGCTCCTTGAGCCACGGCAACGCGGCTTGCACCTGGAGCTGGCTGGCCCACAAGTCGATCGAGATGGCTTCGAGGACGACTTCCGCATCCGATTCCAGGTCAATGCACGCACTGGGCTCTGTGAGCTGAACCGCCTCGGGAACAATGAGCGCTGCGTCTTCATCGGATGTCGTCGTCTCGACAGCCATGACGATGCGCAAAGCAAGCGACGGGTCGGCGGCGACGGACGGCGCGACGTGGGCGGGGACATCGAGGGGCGGAAAGCTCTCTTCGTCGATAAAGTCGGACGTCGAGTCTCTCCGAAGAAACGACATGTCGGGCAGCAACGACACGAGCGACGACGTTGCGTTCGTCAAGTGCGATTCGAAATCCAGAACGTCCAGCGTCTCCCCAAAGAGCGTCGGTGGCTTGTAGTTGATGGCCTCGCTTGGCGCTGGAAGGTGCGCGGCGCGCCACGCTTCGTCGACGACCTTGTCCTGGGCGCTCAGGTCTGGGATCTCCACGACGCGGCTGCGACTGGCGCCCGTCTCGGCCACGACCAACGACGGCGCAAGATTGAGTTGGCCGTACGACGTCGCCGCGGCCGACGGCAACGCAAACCGGAGCTCCGTCTCGATCGACGCGCCAGCTTTCGGCGACGAGATCGCCGGCATCTCCCGGCGCTGCTTGAAGACGATGTGCGGCGGCTGAACGTCGGCCTCGGGTGCCCTACCCATGTATCCATGTGCCCTATCATCCGAGCGTACAAGCGTGTACTTGGTCTGTTCTTCAAGGAGCGTGGCTGCGATCTCGATGAGACCTTCGAGGGCTTGTAGCGTCGCGTTCGGCACAAGAGAGGCGTCGTCGGGATGCTGCTTGATGTGTTCCGTCCACTTGCACTGGAGATTCAAAAGCAGCGCGAGGTCTTGAATACTGTACTTGACGACCAGCTAGGCAGGAAATACGGTGAGACGATGTGTCGGACCACGAGCGGACATCAATCGACTTGGCCACGTCGTTGGAGACGGCGAGCTCGAGGAACTCGACAGCAGCGCACGCGCGAACGATCGCGACGCGGCCCGGATCGCCATGCAGCACCGCAAAGACCGACGCATCCAGCACCTACGCGATTCGCGTCGTCTGGATCGATCGGCCATGTTCACATCTACCTTGAGGTCGTGGATTTCGCCGAGGTCGACATGCCACTCGACCAACTCGAGGCCGACAGGATCGATGAAGAAGAGCGCCGACGTGCCGGGAAACCAGCTTAGGAGCTGTGGCGCCTCGGGGGTAAAGTCCATCGACTCGTGAATGTACTTGAAGACGTGCACTTTGGAGAGGTTGAGCGACTTGACCGAGATGGCTACGCAGCAACCTATCACTATACTGGAAAAGGACGAGAGACGAGTACGCTCGTGCGGTGGCAGATTCGGGCCTTGGAAAAAGGTCTCGGGCGGTTTGGTCAGCGAAAACTTGAGCGTCGACGAGACTGTGCCGGTGGACGGGTCGCCGACCCAGACGCGACGCCCGGGACGTGTCGAGAAGACGCGATAGTCCTTCTCGTCGTCGTCCAAGTAAAAACACGCACCGTAGTTGCCTTGGCGCAGCTTGGACCCGACCTATTGTTGTCCATCTTGATACAAAGTTGATACAAAGCAGGACGGCGACCTGCACGACGCCGTTCGCATCGGTCGCTGCGAGGTTGAGGATGAGCACGCGCGTTTGCGACGACACGAGAAGGTAGTCGCGGGCCGGCGACGCGGTCTTGACGACATCGAGCTGCACGATCGCCGTGTCTTCCTTGAGCAGAAATTCGGTGGTCGTGTTCCCAAAGAGCACCGACCTACGTCAGTGGATCAGGCTATGAAGGTAGCAAGTCGCAGCATCTAGTACGCACATGCCGGCGCGGATCGACGTTTGTGCGACCGTACCGCCGGCACAGGCCGAGAAGACGCGGGAGCCGTCAGCGTCCCAGAGGAAGGCGTTGACGCTGAACCCGACGTGGAGCGCGTGCGAGAACTCGATCTTCTCGCCAATGCGCGCGGGGTCCACAAGCGAGATGGCGTAGACCGCGCCTTTGGCCGTGCCGACGACAAGGTACCGCTGCGACGGGCAAAAGCTCAGACTCGCGACCGGGTGACGCTCGCTCGCCGATGAGGGTGGCGCAATCATCTTGAGGAGCCGAAACTGCACGTTGCTCGTCGCTTGCTTCTTCTGGCTGCGCGCAAAGACGTAGACGCTGCCATTGCTCGCGCCGCACGCGAGGAAGCGGGCGCAGACGTCGACGCACGTGTACTTGACGCCCTGGCCATCCGTGCCATAAGCAAGAGTGTCGAGGCGCACCGTACCGTTGTCGTCACGCCGCCAAGCACCAGCTCCTCGTAGAGCAGAATCGGCTTCATGCGCGGCCGCGGTGGCGCCACGGCTTCGTCCTTCCCGTCGTCCGCCATCGTCACGTGATCGACAATAATCCTGCGAGAGCTGATGTTTGTCGCCCACAGGATATGCGATGCCATTGGCCAAAATCAAATAGTTTACTGCGTATGATTGGCCAATTTGTTTTTAATCGTACCGGGCCAGCGCTTCAACTTCATTCCCTTCTAAACATGATTGAAGAGCTATCTGGCACAAGTGTAGCTGTGGCTCAAGGCCAGCGCTCCAGCGCACGTTGCGATGGGCCTTCAACGCACCGCCTTCGGACGCCCATGAGGCCATTGGCACCACCACGAGGTCGTCGCCAGGCACACACACTCGACGCGGTATTACATCTCATTCCGCTGGGTAGCGTTAGTTGTCGCCGTCGATAATGGACCTACTGCGCGGACGGTGTCGGCAAACAAATGTCCTTGTTCATGCTTTCGAACACAAGCTCAAACGCCGCCCGGAACGCGAGGCAGCCGCTTTCGGACATGCCAAAGCCGATCTCGGTCTCGCCAGCGCTGAGGCGCGCGAGGACGCTGTCGGCAAAGACATCGACGCTGATGCCGTTGGTGTGAAGTCCCGGTGCTTCGAGCTCCGTGTCCACCTCGGGCGGGATGATCTCAATGACGCGAACCGACGTGTCGGCGAGCTGGTGGCGCAGCGACCACGTGAACGAGTGCAGCGCCGCTTTCGTGCTCGAGTAGATCGGCACTGATGCAATTGGCGCGAACGCGATGCCACTTGTCACCGTGATGAGCGCGCTGAACGGCTTGGCGACCAGATGCGGGATCAAGAGCATCGAGAGATGGACGACGCCGGCGTAGTTGATGTTGATCTCGCTGGCCAGCTCATCCCAGCTGGGCGACACGCCGCCCTTGAGGTTCAAGGTCCGCTGGACGCCTGCATTGTGCACAAATACATTGAGCGCTGGGAACGATGCAATGAGCGTCGCAAAGAGCGTTTCGCGCTGGGCTGCTGTCTCGACGTCGCCGACAACTGTGTGCAAGCCGGGATGGGCTGCCTTCGCCTCGGCGAGCTTGGCAGCACGTCGACCGACGATGATGACCGTGTTGCCGAGGCCAAGAAGACGCGAGGCGAGCGCAAGGCCGATGCCGCTGCCGCCGCCCGTCACGACGATCGTATGTCCCGTCATCGACTCCATGTCGGTGTGGATCTCGCAGAGCAAACTGCAAACTGACCACTCGGATCCCGTGATTCTTTCCGGATAATCACTGAAACGCTGACGTGGCAGCCGCTCCTTGCGTTCACCCATGCACGGTGTGGGGCCGGCTAAGTTTATGAAGTGCAGTGGCCATACAGATTCGCACTGAAGTGTGGAGAGTCGACCACTACCAACATCAAGCTTACACCAATGGCCACTGGTAGCCACAGTGCGACTTGAGCTCGACGGATTTCCATTCCGAGTTGTAACGACATACAGCTCCTACTACGACTGCCCTACCGGTCGGTACCGGAGTCGTAGTACCGATAGGCAGCTGTGGTACCGCTAGTCCATCGTTCCAGTCGAATCGTGTGACGATTGGTAGAATGATTTGTAAACGTGAAGATGGCAGTGCGGTGTTGTGACGCCAGCCACTTTGCTAGGCTTTTGGCCGTCGCGCGGTCGCGATGAACGTGTTAACATCGAAAGCGTACCTTCCAAGCAAGTAGATCAAAGCTGGTAGAGCTCACATAGCGCAGTACATTGGCACCACCACCGAGGGCCAACTGGCGAAAGACGCTTGGAGGCTGGGCCCATTGGCTTGTCTGCATTGTATTGGTTTTACTGAGTTGCGCGTCACGGCTTTAAGATTAAGACCGACGCTGCGCGTGTCCAAGGGCTCGCGTGCAGTCTTTTACTCGCCACCATTTGTACTCTGAATCTCTGGCCTTTCTTGGCAAGTGCAAACTGACCACGTCAAAGATCGTACCGGGTATCCGGATACAAGCCAGTGCCGCGAAGATGACGTGGCAGATGGAGCTGCGAGTAAGGTCAAAGCGTGGTTCGATGGGCTTGGACGTACCCGCCATGCTCGGGAAACGATGTGCAAGGTTGAGGTAGCATAAAATTCAGCAGTACCTCCCAAGAACCGACGACTACAACTGATGGCCGATGTTGTCTCGATGACCCGCAGGTCACCTTCATGCGTTTCGCGCCATTTTTACCCGTGCGCTTGAAATAGCGACAAGAGTACTTGGTTTCCGCGCCATGGCGAGTCAGACCATCGACCGACTCCGCGACGAGATCGACGCCATCAAGCACGAGTCTGCGCTGTGGATCATCACGACGGCGCCGGATCTCTCGACGCCCAAGCTCGCGATCGCCAACGGCGTGCACCTCGTCGTCCAGATCCGCGACGGACCAGACATCTCGCTGCCAACACCTGTGCTCAAGCTTGACTTCGTCTTCACCGCGCATTACGGCGCGCTTCCGCCGATCGTCAAGTGCCCCGGCACGTGGCCGCACACGATGGTGCACTCGAAGTCGCGGGTCGTGATTATGAACCTCCTCCAGCGCACCGAGAAAGGCTGGAGCAGGTCGTACACGATCGGCACCGTCCTCCACGCCTTTCGGATGACCCTTCGAGCTACGAACGCGCCGTGGGACCTCCGGTCGCCGCTGCTGCACCGCCTCGAAGAGCAGCATCGTATTATGGCCGCCGAGATGACGGTCGCGCACTGCGAGAGCGGCGTCGCATGCGAGATGGGCACGCGCTCGGTCATGGAAGACATGTACGTGCTCGTCGACTCGTTTGTGAACGGCGGTGACTCACTCCTGGGACTGCACCCGGCGCTCTACTGCGTCGCAGACGGCCACGCCGGCATCACGTGCGCGCGCTTCCTCGTCGACAACGTGCAGTCGACGCTCGGTGCTGAGCTTTCCAAGGACAAGTCGGTCCGGTGCGTCGCCCAGCATGATATGGTGATGACACGGACCTATGTAGGGAAGCACTCTACGCCACGTGCCTGAGTCTCGACCACCGCTTTGAAGAGGCATATGCACCCTACGACGACACGTACTACGCTGGATCCTCTCTCCGATTTGGTCACATACTCTCTGCTTAGGTCGGGCAGCACGCTCATCAGTTTGTTTTACGACGGTCTTGACAAGATGTACTGCGTCAACGTTGGCGACTCGCGGTATAGAGAGCACTGATGGACGAGCCTCGTCCATACTAGCACTTGACTAGTGCGCTCCTGCTGCGCGGCGACCATGTGGTTCAAATCTCGCGCGACCACCGATGCTCGGACGTCGAAGAGAAGGCTTACATCACCGACCGCGGTACGGTGCTGTCTGTAGTGAAGTATCAATGTTCCAATCATGGCAGGTGGCTTTATTCAAAACGACCGGACATTTGGACAGCTCACAGTGACGCGGGCATTTGGTGACGCCGACATCAAGCGCGCGTTCGGCTCGTCACTCGCCGCGTGGCCCGAGATCTCCGAGTGGCCCATCTCTCCGGACGGCGACGACATCTTTATCTTGGCCTGCGACGGGCTCTACTCGGTCATGGACAACAGCGACGTCGCGCAATTCGTGTGGGCCGGGCTCAAGGCGCAAAAGCCGCTGACGCTCATCGCGAGAGAGCTCGCCAACCACTGCGTCACGGCGTGCGGCGGCGAAGACAACACGACCGTTGTGCTCATTCGCATCGGCTTGGATGGATCGCTTTCGCCGTCAAAGTCGGGCAGCGCGATCAAAACGGCAACGACAATCGAAGATGAGAACGCGGCGCTCGTCGATACGCTTTTGAGCTCGCTGGACCTGGACACCGAGCCGTCGACGCCGTCAATGATTCCATAGCACGATCACGCAAAGACCGCCGGTACACAAGAGTACCAAGGTGCCGTTCGTGAAGCTCGAGTCGGCGCGTGCGATCGAAAACGAAGAAGACTTGATGCAGTACCTCATGGACGATATGAACTTTAACGGCGCGCCCGAGTAAAAATCAATAGTAATCTCGGCCAAGGGTACCCTTGTCTTGGCGAACGCAACATCGGATAATGAGATAGTATGCAATGGATAGATCCACTCCATGAAAAAGATGGTCTATTGCATGAACGGATTGACGGGACCGATTGGAATGCAACTACGTTTCATCATCGAAACCGCTGAGCGCGGCAGCACCATGCCGAGCGCGCTCCTCTGTACCGTCGTATGGCTGGCGTGGTTGACGCAAGCACAGCTCTTGCCGCCAGTGCTGCAGCTGACAACCACGTCGCTCCCGGCGAGTCCGCGCATGGTGTCCGTTGTCGAAGTCGATCAACTGTTTGGGTCGCCGCCACAAGGATACACGTTGGAAGCGGTCATTACTTGTCCTCGCAGCGTCCTCCAACGCGTCCAGGTCGTTCAAATGACATCTGTGGCAAACGTCAATCTCACTACCAATGGCTCGGTCGACGTTGGTGACCTCACGGGTCTCGTCGGCGCCGCGACAACTCCTTTTCAAATCGCGCTGATATGGATGGACGCGTGGACGACGGCACCACCCACGAGCTTTAGCTGTACGGTGCAAAGCTCGTTCGTATCGGGTAGCGTGATAGCAACGTCGTCTGCGACCGTGTCGGTACAAGCGACGCTGGCGCCGAGCCTCCTCCGGCTGCCCCGAGCGGTGTGGAACTTCGAGGAAGGCGACTTGCCAATGGAAATACCGCTCACCGTCGAGACGCTGTCTTCGCCCTTTTGGCTGCAGCTGACGGGGCCGCTCAACTGGGTCGCACAGCTCGTGTGGCAAGATCACGTCGCCGCGACCTCGGTTCTCGTGCCGTTACTGAGCCAGCGAACGTGCGCGCTTTTGCTGGCCACCAACGGGAGCCTCAACGGGTCGCTTCTTGTGACGCCAACCGCCGCTGCGCTGGGGGCGCTTCCTCTCTCGCTGCGGCTCACTGCATACAGCACCGCCTGTCTCAGTGCCTCGACCATCAGCACGTGCTTGGCACTGCCGAGCCTGAATGGTACAAGTGCCTACGCAGTGTCGATCCATCGCCACACACGCCTCGTCACGCCGGTGCTCACCAGCAATGCGTCGTTTGTGCACGCCTCTGCCGAGGTACCCGCGATCGTCGCGATCTCGGTCACGAACCTCTCGATGGCGCACGACGTGGTGGTCACGATATCGCTACCGACAGGCCTCTCGAGCTCGGGTGTGACGGGCGTAATACTCCAAACGCTCGTTCGGGAAAGCGTTATGTGGAACTACGGCATCACGTGGACCTTTGCGGGTGTGCTGGCCAACGCCACCGTGGTGCTACCGATTGACATCGATTCCAGCTTTAGCGGCCTTGCCGAGGTAGCTAGCTAGCTAGCTGTGCGTTTGAGGCGTATGTTAGGTACCCATTGCTGTGTCGAGCACCGTGGCGTCCTCGGGCCGCACCAGTGTCGCAACAACGGCCGTGGCTCTTTTGGTCTTCGGCCAGACACCACTCTCTGCACCGTTGAGTATGCCAGAGTCAGTGACCACATCTGGTAACGGGTCCCGCTTCGTGTCGGTGGCCATTCCTCCAGCGGCGTCTCTTGCGCTCTGGGACCTCTCGCACCTAAAGTCGATCGAGTTGGTAATACGCATCTCGGGACGAGCAGCGAAAAACGATGTCGTCTCTGTAGGTCGTTGCAGATGGCGTCGTCCTACGACCAACACGGCTGCCGACAACGGCGTCGATCGTGGGCTTTCCGATTCCCAGCGGCACCACGTCGGTCTTGCTCTGGCCGCGCGTGAATTTCACTGGCTACGACACGTTGTTTTGGGCGTTCTACGACGACGCCAACAGCTTGCAGTCGCTCTCGCGTTCGCGCCTTTATGTCCCGACGCAACTTGGATCCCGACTCTTGAAGCATCCATCGTCGTCGTCGACCACGCCTTCAACGTGACGCTGCAGAGTATGGTAACGCTGGACACGGACGTTTGGTTTGTAGCACAATTAGTCGTGCCGACTGTTGTGCCCGTCGTCGTATGCACCGGCGCCTCGGTGGTCGCCGACACCGATCACCAGACGTTCCAGCTTGTGAATCCAGCACCCGGTACGACGCTTACTATCCTTCTTGACGCCTCGTACGTCGGTATCTTTGGCCTTGCCGTCGTGCTCACGACAACGAACGGCGTCCAAGTGTCGCCACCGGCGCAGACAACGTTCAATGTGTCCATCCTATCGCCGACGTCGCCAACATTCACGCAATGGATTGCAACGACCGACGTGTCGTCTGTGCTGCTGCAGACGCCTGCACTGACGATGAACAACACGGAAACGTCCTGCGTCGAGCTGCATCCAAACGATCCGGCACTCGACGTAGCGTATGAAGTAGTTGCGCCGCCCTCCCCCTTTCTGGGCAGCGAGGCCAATGCATCCGTATCGCTCGCACCCGTCGCTCTCAACTGGACTCGCTACGCCTACGGCAACGCTACACTGCAGTTGGTATCGACCACCGTCGTCGTCTTGTGGAAACATGCGGTTGCGGGCCAGATCGTTTCGAGCGCAGTGCATGTTCGGTCGCTCGACTTGTCGGTGATTCCTGCAGCGCAAACCCCGGTGCTCGCGGTCCTCGTCCCGTACAACGACTCGGTGTGGGGACCCTGGGCGCTCTACTCAAACGACCCTCTCGTATTTACGATCACAGTGTCTGTGGTCGATCCGACTACCACCCTCGCCTTGACGTGGTCCTGCGCGGCCTGCGAACGCGTCGACTTGAACTCGACGATGACACCCAATATCCCGTTTCTAAGCAGCTCCAACGCTCTCGTGCTGAACGTCAACGCCTCGCTGAGTCCAAATGCAATGGGTATCAGCAACCTGACGGTGACGGCCACGGCCAACTGCTCGGATGTCGCCTGTGTACAAGTGCTGCCGGTTTCCTTTACAGTTTACCCAGCAGCTGTACCGCCGGTACTGCGCCTACAAGCTCCCTCGAGTGCCGTCCTTGAAGGCACTGCACTCGTACTGCCAATGACGGTGCAAAACCACTCGGCGATCGAGGCTGTTTCAGTCGCCTGCTCTATTGTCCCAATGGCAGCAAGTGCATCTGGTCCTCCGCAGTGGGACGCGACGCCGTCGACACTGTCACTGCAGCTGGTGCCAATCGGGAGCGGCGTCGTAGCTGTCACGTGCGTCGCCGTCGCCCAGATTGCCGTCTATAGCAATCCGCGTAGTGTTGCCAATTCCACCGTCACCGTCTCGTTCGTCGTCCTTCCAGTGGCCCACGCGCCACTATTAACAGCCGCGTCGACACAGTACACGCTCACGAGTCGCTACATGCAGTTGCCGGTTCTATCGTCGAGCCTCGCAACTGCCCGGTTGCCTAGCATCGACGTGTGGCGCCTGCAGCTGCACGCCCAAGCCGGTATGTTTCAAGTCTGCTGCAACAGCTCCAACCAAAACATCGCGCCGTCGGCGACGAGCGACGGTATCGACACCTTTGACGTGCGGCCCACCGCGCCAATATACGTGGCAACGATCGGTGCCAACGACGGCGGGTCCTTTCCACTCCGGCTCAGCAGCACCAATGTCGTCCCGGCGTCCAATACATCAGCGACAACATCGGTCATTGTCCAAGCCAACTTTGTGGGCAACAACCTCACAGTGACACCGGTCACCAACAGCGAAGGCGACGTCGTGACGCTGACGCTCTCACTCTTTACGCAACCGCAGGCGACGCTTGGGATCTCTATGGTTTGCAATGACACGTCGCAGCTGGCGCCACCGACGGCCCGATCCATGAGCCCCAACGCGTACACGCCGACCGTTGTCTACGCGATGCGGACGGCGCACGATTTCGTCGACCGCCCGACCGCGTACGTCCGCTGCCACGTGCAGTTGTCGACGTCCGACCCGTGGTACGCCTACGTGCCGATGCCATCCGCGGTCTTTACCATCGGCAACATTGATCACTCGGCGCTTGTTCTTGTGGGCCCGACACTCGGAGGCCGGCTCCAACTGGCCGTCGGCGTTGGTGGCGCCGGCGATGTCTTCACCGTCGCGCTGGCCACCATGCCATTGGGACCGGTGGTTGTCTCATTCAACGCGACCGGGCTCGTGACGACACCGACCACAGCCGTGCTGAGTAGTACGAACTGGAACTCGCCGCAAACAATTGTCGTCTCGGCCCCCGCTGGCCTTGTGCTCTCAACCAACCCATTCTTCGCGTATGCCGCTTCTCACATGAGAGGCTCTCACGCCCTTGGTTGCGTAGGACGCTTCACGTCCATAGCTCCTCGTTGATGGATGGCAAGTACGCGGCGCTGCCTCCGTCGAGCGTGGCCGTGACCATCGTCGACGCACCCGACATGACGCCGCCACCGCGGCTGCTCTCGGCGATGTTTGCCGACTCGGGCGCGTCACTCATTGTGACATTTTCTCGGGCCGTCGATCTCTCGGGCTTTTCAGCGTCTTCGTTTGCCTGTGATCGGGTCTTCGAAACAACGAGCTTTGGTCTTGTGCCTGTGTGCACCTGGGCAACGGCGACGACGGTAATGATTGGCTTGGGCGTTGGAGCCACCGTGGTTCCGTTTGCGCCCTGCACCGTTTTCGGTGGCCTCAAGTCGACATCGACGTCGACGCTGAGTATGACGTCCATGACCGTGTCGGTGCAGCCTCCGTTGAATCCGCCCGTGCCCACCGTGTCGATTGCGGGCGCCACGTCGCTCGGCGCCTGCGACGATCTGGTGCTGGATGCCACCGCGACGTCGGGGTCGGGCGGGCGGCCAATGACGTGGCAATGGACATGCGTCATGGAATCGACGCAGCAGCCGTGCAACGGCTCGTTTACTCAAATCAGTGCGTCGACGCAGGCGATCCGGGTGCCAGCAAATGAGCTCGTTGTTGGCACCCAGTATCGTATTCAACTCAACTGCACCAACTACTTTAATCTCTCGGGGGCGTCTGCGCTGCTCGTGGTAAAGTCCTCGAGCGCGCTGCCTTCCGTGTACGTGGATGGACCGAGCACGGTGCGTGTGGCTTATTCGACGGAAATTGTCTTGTCGGGCGTCGCGGTGCCGCCGACCTGCAACACTAGTGGCTTCGATTCCTCGGTGCTGCAGTTGTCGTGGACGATTCTTGAGACCGCGGCGCCGATATCGGGGAGCCGCAACCCGCGTCAGGTCTTTTGGCCGGCGCGCAGCTTGCTGCCTGGGAATTACACCGTGGCCTTTCGTGCAACGTCATCCAGTGGCGGTGTCAACACGGCCGTCGCGACCCTGGAAATCGTTCGCTCGGCGCTCGTAGCAACCATAGTCGGTGGGTCCAGTCGCACGGTCGGGGCCACGTCGATCTAGTTCTGAACGGATCGCTGTCGTACGACCCCGATGCCGTGAACGCGACACCGTTGACGTTCGCGTGGAACTGCACCAACCCGTCAAGCGGCGCGCTTCTTGCGTTGCTCAACGGTACAACACCAGTGGTCCCCAAGAGCTTTTTGACCGTCAACTTGACGCTTTTGGTGACGCTTACCGTGTCGGACGCAAACACAAACCGGACAGCCACGACATCGACGATCATTGCCGTCGTTGCAGGAACGCCACCGAGTGTGGCGATCGCTCCGCTACAGCAAGCACGCTTGAATGCTGACGCCAAGATTCTCTTGCACGGTAGTGTGGAGAGCAGCTCGGATCCTGCGCCAATCGGCAGGTGGTCGGTTGCCAACGACGCCCGCGGGCTTCTCGCGGCCGCGTTCTTTGCCGTGCCCAGTGTACGTCGACGATATGAAACACGTGGCGCAACAACTGTGTTGTAGACGTCGTCGACCATGATACTGCGTCCTGGCGCGCTGGAGCCACAGACGACGTATACGTTTCTCTTCACCGGCGTCGATGCACTCGGACAGACCGCGACCGCATCGACGACGTGGACCACCAACGCGCCACCGACCAGTGGCTCGGTACACGGCTTCGAGTTTCATTGGCTGACGCCCCACGTCCCTAGGTGACAGTGACGCCGACGTCGGGCGTTGCGCTCACCACGTCGTTCACGCTGACCAGTCGCAACTGGGTCGGCGCCACCCTGCCCCTTCGCTTTGCCTTCAAGTACATCCGCGGCCTCCCCACCGACGTACGACGCCTTTTCGTGTCTTGTTTTTATACTGCGGTAGGTCGGCGCGGTCGAAGTCCCGCTCTGCGAGTACGCGTTCACGACGTCGTGGGTCACGACCTTACCGGCGGGTGTCAACGGATCGGTGACGATTGTTGGGTACGTTGCCGATGCGCTTGGCGCCGTCGCCAAGGCGTATGCGACGATTCACGTGGGCGCACTGCCCGCAGCGTCGGCGCAGGCGCTCGTCCTCGCACAAGCCACGTCGCTTGAAGCCAACGCCCCGCACGACGATCCCAGCGCTGTGCTGAGCACCGCGACGCAGCTCGCTTCTGCGTTGCCGTCGGCGCTTCTCAACACCAATGCCGTCTGCTTGGTACCAGGTCAAGGATGTTCTGGTCATGGCACCTGCACTTTGGATCCGCCCGCGTGCCGCGCGACCGACGCCAACTGCGTTGCATCGTGCGTCTGCACTGCCAACTGGTATCGGACAGCATCCGTACAACTACCTTGATGACGTGCATCATAGGTTTGCATATGACTGCAGTGCATCGGCGGAGACGTTCCAGTACCAGCAGACGGCGCTCGGTTCACTGCTCAACGCGGTCGCGACCGCGGCCACGACCGCCAACCCAACCGTCGAGGGGCTAGAACAGCAAAGCGCCGCGCTCTACAATATCGCCGCCAACGCCGACCTTCTCTCGTCCAGCCAGGCAGCGCAGACCTTTGGCTTGCTGCAAAACGTGCTGGCACCGTCGTCCATGGCGCTCCTGTCGTCAACGGCGCTCGCCACACTTGGGGGCGCGATCTCGAGCCTCCTCGAGCTCCCTGCAACGACAGCACCAACGAACAGCGCTTCGACCGTCGTCGACATGCTCGCAACGGCGCTCCTTATCTCGACCGTGCCTGGCGAGGCGCCGGCGACACTCGTGACACCCAATCTGCGCCTCGCCGTGCAGCGCGTACGTCCGGCGTTGGCGGCGACGGGAAGCACTCTGAGCGTACCGCAAACGACTGCGCAGATCGCTCAACAAGCAGCCACGACCAGTTTCACCTTACCTACGGAGCTCCCATTGGCATCTACCTGCGCGCACGCCATCGACACCCACCTCAAGTTCTTCCGGCGCAACTTGTATGGGTCGAGCGACAACGCATCGCTCGCATCTGGCGTCCTCGGCATCGACCTGTACTGCGACTATGCGGCAGAGCCAGCTTCGGTCGCCAACCTCTCGCACCCGTTGCAAATCCGCATGGCCAAGCTGCAACCGCAGGTTTGGCGAAATCCAGGCTGTCCATTGTAGATCACGGATCGGTGTAGGCTCCGTTGGCCATTCCGCCTCGTGTGTCGGCGTCGTACAACTGCGTCGTCGGCGGAAACGAGACGATCGTCACGCTATGCGCCGAGCCCACGACGGTAGCCTGCAACGGGTCGGCCAACTATACGATTCAGTACACGTGTCCTCGTCGCCGTCAGGTGCCGACCTGTCAGTATTGGCATCCCTCGGTACGCCAGCGCTTCGACCGAGTATGTGGTCGATCCGGTCGTCGGTCGTAGGCGCAGACGTGGGCCACGGACGGCTGTGTTGTCGTTGCCGACGACATTGACGCCATCACGTGCAACTGTACCCACCTCACCGACTTTGGTACACAGATTGTCCAAGCCTTGGACGCGGTGCAGCTCCAGGTCGTCGAGACGCTGAGTGTGCGCATTACACCGGCGCTGCTCGAGGCCAACACGGCGATTCCCATCACGCTCGGCGTCTTATGCGGTCTGTACCTTCTCAGTTTGCACTTGTCGGTGCAATGGGACGCCCACGATGCGCTGGTTTTCGCAAAAGAGCAGCGGCGCCGGCGCGACGATGCGCAGCACCTCTACGTGCCGCCGAAACTGTACCAGCCACCGGCATTCGTGGTCGCACCGACCCGCCGCGAGCGCCTCCGGGCCTTTTGCAAGAGCGTCTGGGTGGGTCTCATGGACAACCACAAAGTCCTCGAAATGTGTTTCCACTACGACCCGCACTACACGAGGTAATCGTAGAAACACTTGGTCGCAGAACGAACATCCTGGAGTAGACCGCAACGCGTCATGGTGCTTTTCACAGCCGCCATGAGCGAGCTCCTCATGAACGCGATACTGTACAAGCTGCGCGCGCTCCAGCCGACCGCGGGCACCATGGTGGTCAGCGGCGCCGTCTCGTCCATCTGCATGCTCCCCGTGACGATTGCGGTAAGCCTACTCTATAGGACCATACGTTGGTGCGACGACGCGGGTAGTTTATCTTGCTCTTCAAAAAGTCGGGGCGCGCGACCACTTTGTGTTGCGTCTCACGCTCGAAGACGACACGACGATCGTTGAAGTCCAAGTCGACGCCTACGGCAACCCCGTCGACGAGTCTCAATATTGCATTCGCAAGCGCGACCACCTAGGTACGGACGGTGGCGACCTCCACACAAACCCCTCACGGCCTCGTGCACACAGAGCTCGCTGCAAGTATACAGCCCAAAGACATCCAGATCGCGCTCTCGCACCTCCGTCGCGTCGGCGTCCTCGAGGCCCATGGCGCGCCAACGCTCGCCGGCCACGTGTCGATTGCCGTGCACTATTTAGTCTTCAATCGCGCCGTCGGAGCCGTTGAATCGGACGAGCGCCACGTTCTTGATGCCGGCGCAGAGCGCGTCGCTCGGGCCATGAAGGACGTCGGTCGGTCGGCCAAAGTCGCCGTCCAAGCGTCCACCGAGGACGAAGCGCCGGTGGTCGAGGCGTGTACGGAGGCGGCGCTGCCAATGCTCTTGGCCATGTGGGGGCACAAGACGCTGCCAACGCAGCTGAGCCATATCGAACCCGCGGTCTTGTCCGAAGCAACGCTTCTCGCCGCAACGCAGCACTTGGACGCGGCGTCGGCGCAGATTGCCAAGCTCCCAGTCACGTCGCTCGGTCCGATCTCGTCGGACGAGGTGCGCGTCGCGCAGGGCCTTGTCGCATGGGCGCGGACCGTCCTCGCGAGCGCCGATGCGTACGTGGACGACGCGCAGGCCATGGTCCAACGCATGGCGACCGCCGTCGAGAACGCCAAGCTCGAGCTCCTCGAAGCGCGCGCGCTTCTAACGCACCGCGTTCCATTCCGGCGCCGGCTTGTGCTACCCCGTCGCTCGCGTCGCTACTCGATCGACAAACTGGCGCGCGTCCAGCGGGCGACGACGACGCTCGAGGCAACGGCAAAGCGCTTCAAGCAGACGCGGGCCTATGCGGCGCAGAACGAGCGCGAGGAGCGGCAGCGCATCGCGGCGCAAGAGCGAGAGATCCTAAAGCACCTCCACGGACTCGCTCGGTACCGCAAGCGACTGCTGTTGTTCCTCGAGGCGAGCGAGGCCCGGCGACTGGCCGCGCTCCCGTTGCACGAGCGCCTGCGCTACGAAGCCGAGCAAGCCAAGGTGCGATCGCTCACGGCGCCAGCGCGCGCGCTCTATAACACCATTTTGCGCCAGGAGGCGAGCCGCCTCGAAGCGCCCGTGTTCCCGCGATGGGTGCATTACGTTCTGTACGGTATGTGCGCCGGCGTCGTCGCCTTTGCCGTCTACTTCGTGCTGCTCTTCTCGCTGCTCATCGGCGCCAACGTCGCGCTGCACTGGGTCGGGTCGGTCGTCGTGGGCCTCGTCCTGACGCACCTCGTCACCGAGCCCATCGGCGTTCTTTTGCGCGTCGGCATCTTGCCGCTACTCGCCACCGTGCTTCTCAACAGCACGGGCATCCTCGAGATGCTCGGGGCCGAGACCGTCTCGTGGGGCGCAGCCGCGACGGTGGGTGTCGCCGGTGTTACACGCCTCACGCGCAAAGCGGCGCTCGTGCAGCCCGTCGACACGTCCAACTTGGTGGTCTCGTCCGTCCGTCCTGGTAAAGTCGCGGCCCATGCACTCCATCTGGTCCACGAACAACGGCTTCACGAAAGAGCATCCGACCCGTCGCCCGCCGAGCTGGCCGCGGAGATCGAGGCAGCCGCAGCAGCAGCGTACAAGGCGCGCTGGACCGCGCATGCCTCTAGCGACGTGAAGACGCCGGTTGCGCTGCCTCCGATTGAGCCGCCGGGACCCCGGTCGGGGCCGCCGGTGGTGCATGTGCCAGCCGCGGGTGGTGACACTGCACTCTTTCCGGCGCAACTCCTCGTGTCGCCGGATCTACCACTGGTGGCGTCCAGTGCGGTCGACGACAGCGCGCTCTGTCGTCTTGGGTGCGGCGCCAGAGTGCGCCGAGTAAAGCTAGAGAGTCACGAGGTGCATCTGTGCCCACAACGCCCGCTGGTCTGCCCACGTTGCAGCATGTCCATGGCCGCGGCGATGCTTGCCTCCCATGAATGTCGCTCGACGCCAAAGCAGCGAAGTCGTCTTCCGCCGCTATCACCACCCTGTCTGCCACCATTGAACGACCATGCCGTGACCCAACATCACCATACTAGTGACGACCTCCAGCACCGAGCCCAGAACGGCCATGCAGCCGATCATGGCATATTGGGCGTTGCGCGCCAGACGCTAGCCGAGCGCCGCGATATCGCTGAAAAGATCGAACGCATCTTGCACGAGACTGCCGGCTAGCAACCCCGTGGTGGCGCAGCAGCAGCACGTGCTGCCATCTTGCCAGCGCTTGCTCCAGTCGTACATTGCGGCCGCCGTTGCCGGCGCATGCAACCGCGCTTGCCTCGCCATGACGGCTGCGTGTGCGACCATGGTACCATGCTCGAGGTCGTCGTCTTGCTTGCTCGCAGGATCCAAGCGGCACGGTCGAGGGCAACGGTGCTACCGGAATTTGAGCATTTTTCTGAATTCTCTGCTTTAAAAAACGTACCATAAAATAATAATAAAAGAATGATCAAAGCGTAGCTTGAGATTTGTATGTGGATCCATTAAACGCGACATGTACGGAAATAAAACCACCACTCGACCACAGTATCACGGAGAGCAACCAGTCTGGAATTGAGCGACGCGGAGACCGACATGTGCTCGCGCTTGGACCTGGCGACGCTCCGCGTGCGGAAGGACCTCAACGAGGTAGACGCATGGCCGCATGGCGAGGCCTCACCCACGCCATGTACTAGCTCGCCAAGGGCAAGTTTGCCGTCGAGCATGCGACGACCCAGATCGAGTTCCCGGACGGCGTGGAGAACCTGCTCCGTATCCTCATCACGATCGCGGTCACCGACCATGCAAGCGCCTACGCCAATGGCGACTTCAAGTTTCGCATCGAAATCCCCAAGGCGTACCCGTTCCATGGTACGACGCCACGATGCTGCGCTGCCGCATCGTCTCATCTCTGCTTTGTAGCACCTCAGCCTCGACCGCATTTGGCACCCGAACATTGACCTGCATACGGGCCGCGTCATGTTTTCCATTCTCGGCAAGGACTGGCGCCCGGTCCTGAGCATCAACACGATCTTGCTTGGCCTTCAGGTGCGCTTGCCTCTCTCGATCTGGCCAGTCTCATAGCTTGCATGTTAGCTCATCTTTATCGAGCCCAGCATCGAGTTCCCCATGAACGAAGCGGCCGCAAACGCGTACCGCCATAGTCCTCAGGCGTTTCGTCGCGACGTATGGCTTGCCCATTACACTACGAGGGTGCTGACGGTCAATGTAGGTGCAACTGACGCTCCAGGGCGGCGTCCACTTCGGTCTGCAATTTGTGCGTCACCCGCGCTACCGCAACGTCCATGGACCTCGGAAGCGCGAGCGCGGCCTCGAGCACGAGATTGAGCAAATGACGATCGTGTCGCCCGACTCGCACGGCGCCATGGACATGACGGACGTCGAGAACGACGACGACCCGTATCCGCCGTCCGCCAAGCGCCACCGGATGACATAAGCGCCTAATTTATTCGTACCCGCTGTGCCCATACGCGTGTGCTGTGGGGCCATGCTACCGCGGACGCGTCCAATGTCGAATGCTCTCTAGGGCTAGGGGGACCGTAGTACGTGTCCATCGCACGCAATGTGTTGGGCACCGACCGAACATGGCGAGCTGAAAAAGCAGTGCTCGTCCGACGATCTCGATGGTTCGCTCCGTCGGTGACGACATGCCTCACGCCACCGGGTTCAAGTTGGGTGGGTTTAGCCAAACGTGCGGGCAAGTTTGTCAGAAGCGAGGCGTCCAGCCGCGCAGAGCCATGGATCGCGACATTAGTCAGTAGAAAGAGCGGGACTAGTAGGCGTTGTCAAGCGCTTGCTAGGGATCTCAGCATGCCCATCGTGAAACAGTGGAAAGCCACGGAGATGCCGCCGATCAACACTATTCACGGATTTAAATATAGTGTGCGCCATGGACAATCGCGAATAGTGTGTACGATCCGATTGGTATCCGGAAGCGGACTTGCGGCAATCCTCAGTCAAGAAGGAAGCGCAAGGTCGACGATGGACATGGCGTGGGGCGACAACTCGTGTACGTGGCAGGCGCGTGCGATGGAACATGACGGCTCATGCTCCTCTTTTAGATGGCTACTCCATGTCGCAAGGGTACTGCCGCCACCGCTGGCCATCGCGATGACGCTGCCGTAGGTTCGATGACGGCGAGAGCGGGTCGCTGAGCGGCGAGAACAAGCCGCGCATCCTCCTCATGGGCCTTCGAAGGTGCGCATGCGCCTAGCCGTACCACGATATTCATGCGGCGTTAGGAGCGGCAAGTCGAGCATCCAGCGCGTCGTCTTCCACAAGATGTCGCCGCACGAGACGCTCTTCCTCGAGGGCACGAACACGCTCGACATCAAGTACATCGCCAACAACTCGTTCGTGCAGTTCCAGATCTGGGACTTTCCCGGCGACTTTGAGTTCAAAGGTGCGTTCAACATGGTCGCCAGCGCGTGCTCACATGTTGACCATATGTAGACGACTTGGTCTATGGTGGCCAGCTCGTGAACGAGGAGATGATCTTTGGCAACTGCGGCGCGATCGTGTTTGTCATTGACGCGCAGGTAACCACGACGGCGATGTTGTACCTGCCGATGATGAGATGTACATGGGCGCCTATAGGACGAGCCGTACTCGGATGCGCTGTCGCGGCTCCACGACACGGTCACGCGGGCGCACCACTACAACCCCAACATCTTTTTCGAGGTCTTTATCCACAAGGTGGACGGCGACCTCTTTGTCTCGGACGACCACAAGATTGGTACCATCGTAACTGCGCTTGCACCATCCTCATCATGGTTGGTGGTAGACTGCCAGCGCGAGATCCAGCAGCAAGTGCTTGACGAGATCAACGACGGCGAGCTCGACATCCACATGAGCTTCTACCTCACGAGCATCTACGACCACAGCATCTTTGAGGCGTTCTCCAAGGTCGTCCAGAAGCTCATTCCGCAACTGCCGACGCTCGAGAACCTCCTCAACATTCTCATCTCGAGCTGCAACATGGAAAAATCCTTCCTCTTTGACGTCGTCAGCAAGGTCTACATCGCGACCGACTCGAACCCTGTCGACATGCAGTCGTACGAGCTCTGCAGCGACATGATTGACGTGGTCATTGACGTCTCGTGCATTTACGGGTACATGGCAAAGATATGTCTCGCCTCGATCTCATGGCGTGGCGTAGCATGAAGGAAGACGGCGACGGCGACGGCCTCGCGTACGACGCCGAGTCGTCGTCGGTGATCCGCCTCAACAACGGCATGGTGCTCTACCTGCGCGAAGTGAACAAGTACGTATCTTGCCTTGCGTTGATGGCTCATGCAATGATTGACGCAGCTACCTCGCACTTGTGTGCCTTTTGCGGTCGGAAAATTTCACGAAGCAAGGTATCATCGACTACAACATTGACTGCTTCAAGGCGGCGCTCGGCCAAGTCTTCAAGGGCGCGGCGATCAAGGACGTGTAGACCCCGCCCAGCAAAGATATGCATGCAAGAGTCAACACGACGCGTTTTACATGCTTAAAAGCCACCGGCAGCGATAACCGCGATGAGGATTAGGACGAGGCCAAAGACCAAGAGGCAGCACTGCTTCTTCCGCATGCTCTTCTGGGTCTGAATCGCTTTCGTGACTTCCTTGTTGCCAGCATCAATGTAGTTGGAGGCCGCTTTCACTTGAAACTCGATCTGGTCGAGCATCTCCCCTTGCTGCTCCACGAGGAGCGCGAGGTCGAGAAACATTTGGTGCAGCTCGGCCACGCTTTGCTCGAGCTTGAGCACGTCTTGGTACTTGTCGTGGCAGTTCATGTACACTTCCTTGATGCTCTCGGCACTGCCTTGCAGGATCGCACTGCGGTAGATGGCCCCTACAGCAGTGTTACGCTGACATGACGAGCGTCCAGGTCGTACCCGGGTCCGCCGACCGCATGACCATGTCAATTTCTTGCTCGGACGCATCCGGTTTCACGATCTGCACTTGGCGCTTGACCTTATTCTTCATATCGGCTTTGAATTTTTGCTATTGCATGCTCCATATTGGCCACGGCGTGATCATGCACTCGGTGGGTACCTGCGCCTTCTGGTACTCCTTCATCGTGTCCATAAACTTGCGTGTGAGCGTCGTCGACATGTTGTCCCGAATCCTGCAGACCGCAATCTGTCCGTGTATGTCACTATCGTGATATTTGCTACCGAATCTCCGAGGCCGCGACCGTCTTGTCTTTCTTCTTCTCGGCCGACTCCTTCTTGATGAGCTCGAGCATGCCCTGGACGCACCAGCGTGAGCGACGAGGTGCACGGTCGGGATACGGACCTTGGCATGGGCAGCAATCTTGTTGGTGCTGTCGATGACCAAGCACAGCTCCTGGCTGATCGCTACGAGAGATTGGAATGGCGGCATCGACTGCGACGCTTTCGTACTCTGCTCTTCGCCGGCGGCAGTCGCCAATAGTGCTTGGTGGTTGAGCTCGCCGATGCGGTCGGTCGCGTGCCTAGACGTCGAGGTGGAAGGCGGGTCGGCGCAGGGTGCGTACCCAATCTTGCTCAGGTCGGCCTGCATGTCTTCGACGTCGAGAAAGAACTTTTCCATAAACTTGGGCCGCGTGATCTCGGTCGTGCTACAGACGCGGTGGCTACGAGCACATGCGTACGAAGCGTGTCTACCTCGACGCCTACGAGACGACGATTATCATGAGCCATCATCGTCCGAGCGATATCATCGTCGTCCACCTCGGAGATGTCGATCATCACGTCCGAGCTCTTGCCTACATGGCGTCCATGCACCGCGGTCGCATCGCGTCGGCGTCGTACCCGTGAGCTCTGCCAGGCGGTCGTTCATCCTCCTCGGCCGATGAAAATCAATATGGCGGCCACGTAAAAATACAGAGCAGTTTCACCTCGGTTGATCTCGCGGGTCGGCATTTTATTCCTATTATACTAGCGGTTTGTATCGGTCATTGTTTTCTTGTGATTAAAATACGACAGTGGGGCGAGCGATCTTCGGACGCTCGAGACTCGTCGCTCGCTGCAGACAAGTTGTCACCAGTGCGGACGACTCACTACTTACTACCGTAGCAAGGTCTTACACCATAGTTTTCGCATATGTATTCTGCAGGAAATCAAGGAATCAAGTGCATTTCATGCAGTATGCACGAATAGAATAGAGAGGGGTCCGTGGGCTAGCGTCACGACTCGCGCAGCGACATCGCCTCGTACACGGGTGTCGTCGTCACCTCGGGGTCTTCACTGTTCCGATCGGGGTCCATGGCACGCATCTCGGAGGCCGCAAACACGTTGTGTCGGAGCGGTGCGTCGGTCGCGTCTGTGGTTCGGTTCGACGCCTCGTCATACGGCGCCGACTGCAACCGCAGCGGGCTCTTGAGCTCGGGCAGAGCTGTAACCTTGGGGCGGATTGCGGTTGGGAAATTGGTGGCCCCGTTGCTGACCGTCCTTGTCTCGTCGATGGTGACCGCGGGGCTACGGCCCAGAAAGGTCGGGTTGTTGGACGAGCCGACGAGGTGGATGCGCTTCAGAAACATTTGCTGAAAGTCCCACTCGTCAATGCCAGGTTTCGTGAGCCGCGGCCACGTGAGGAGCACGCCGCGGTGGCGGTAGTTGCTAATCTCGCAGACCGGGTGCTTGTAAAATGGGTTGGGGCCGACCGGGTGCTGCACGAGGCACCCGTACGTCGCCTCAATGTCGACCGCCAAAAACACGGTGAAGATGGCTTCGAGCTCGCTAATGACATAGTCGTGCATGACTTCGTGGATCGTCAGCGAGTACGCGACTTGCACATTCTCGCCGAGCTCCTGGAGCCGGCGCTTGGCCATCGAGAGCTTGATGATGCCCAGAATCGAGTCGATCTGGCCCTCGGTCACAACCGCGATGCGCTCGTTGGGCTTGAGGAGCACGATGTCATTGTAGTACGCGCGGGCCGGCTGGCGCAATTGAACCCAGCCGTTGCCTGCCATGCCACGGTACTCCCAGATCAGGTACAACCCGTTGAGCGGTAGCGTCACGACCGCGCACACAATCAAGTTCCACATCATGAGGTCGGCGCCGAGGTTGCTGCCGAGGGCCGAGTAGCTCAGCGTACTCAATGGCGCCCACGCCGTTGCGCCGCCGAAGAAACCCGCATAGTAGAGGGACGGGAAGAGCAGCATGCACGCCAGGATGAGGTCGGGGCGGGGCCGCGTCGCCTCTTTTATCAGCACGATCCAGTCGGACGGCGTCTCGCGCTGGAAGCTGCCCGAGTACTCGCGGTGCTCGAGGCCCGTAAACGAGTTGAAGCCCGACGGCGGTTTGGTCGTCGTGATACTCGTCTTGCGCGACGGCGACTTGATGTCGGTCTTCTTGGCACCCTTCGAGTCGTAGCGCACGTGGCTAAGGCGGCGACGCTTCTTGGCTTTGATGGCCATCGTCCGCTTCGAGACGGACGAGATGCCATAGAGCAGGAGCGCGATCGCCTTGTGCATGCCGAGGACGAACCAGAAGACGCTGCCCATGAGGTTGGCGTAGTTGAAGTACATGAGCCAGCGCGAGAAGCCCCAGTCGTTGGCGAGGAAGAAGTCGAGGGCGTTGACTGTCCGGAAAAACATGTACCGGTCCGCGACGATGATGTAGACTTCTAAAAAGTTGACAAGGCCGGCGTTGTAGTACTTGGCCTGGGACGAGAGCGGGTCGACCGAGAAGCGGAAGAGGCTCTTCTTGTGCCCCGACGGCGTCGAGAACGACACGCGGCGGACAAAGCCAGAGAGGATGATCAAGATCGTCAAGAGCTGCGAAGCCAGTGCAATGTTGTTGAACTCGGTCGACCGCTGCCGGTAAAAGAACCAGCTAAATGTTGCTTCGTTCGGGTGGAAGGTCCACTTGAGCGGCCGACTGCCGTCGTCGATCACTTGCAGATTCGTCTCGTAGATGTTGAAGCTCATCATGATCGGTGTCCATAGCTCAAACGCTTCGCTGTGGAAGAGCTTGAGGTTGTACTGACAACGCCCGTTCGGTGCATCCACGACCGCCGCCGTGAGCGTCGCGACGTTGGTGGTTGCTTTGATCGTCGTCGGGAGGTTGTTGATGCCGGCCCAGGTGACGCCGGCGTTGGGCTTGCCGGCCATCGACGTCGAGTACTTTGTGGTGACGCTAACGCCTTTGGTCGTATTGCGCGCCCACGTGCACGCAACCGGAAACGACGAGACGTTGAGTCCGAGCGTCGAGAGGGCCGTGTTGGAGAAGAAGAGCGCAGACCCTGGCGTCACCATGTGATTGAGGTCGGACGTGGCTGCCGAGAGCCGCATGCGCATCGAGAGGCCCGTCTCGTTCATGTTGAGCATATCATACGTGATGGGCGTGCCGTAGCCGGCCGAGATGGCGTCAAAGTCCAAGTACGGCAGCACGCGCTGGTGCAGGGTGAGCGCCGCCGTGTTGTAGCCGAGCATATTGTTGACCGTGTCGCTGCTCCGAATGTACTTGGAGAACGCGAGGCAGTAGAAGAGGGAGCCGGTCGCCGCTGTAAAGAGGAGCCCGAGGATCTCGGGCACGCGCTTGGCCAGCCCCATTGTCACCACCGTCTTTTTCAAGTGCTTTTTTCAAATGCACTTTATACGGGCGTAACCACCGCAACCGACGAGGCGACGTTTCACGACATGTGGGATGGAGTGATCAACGCCCAACACATAGACGTCTGGTCGTTGTGACATGTCTACCGTCGTTCTGCCAAGGTCCTGCTTGTTATTGGAAAAGGAGGAGGTTAGGGAAAGAAAGCTGGGAGGCTACCACAGACACACCGCTAGATTGCACGTTGCCCCGATTCCACACCGCCGACACAACGCCTTGCACAGCTCGCTGGACGCATGGGTCTCTCTGAAGCGTCCCTTGCACACTTGACAATTGTACATCGTTTGCACGGAGTACTAGTATACTGTTCGACTAAAGTAGTACCGGCGCTACATGTTACAATTCGTGCTCGCTGATGCCCGCGGCCAAACAACCAAAACGACTACTTCAACGCCATGAGGTGGCTCGACGTGCTTGAGAGCATGGGACCTTGGTCGGGGCCATTGACGAGGACATCGTCGGGGCCAATGACGTAAATGCGCTTGAGGAACATTTGCTCAAAGTCCCACGGCTCGATACCCGGTTGGTGCGTGCGCGGCCACGAGAGGAGCGTGCCGCGGTGGCGGTACCACCCAGCGCGCACCATGGGAAATCGCTCAAACGGGTTGGGTCCCGCGGGGTGCTGCACGAGGCACTGCGCCGCGTACGGGGCATCAATCGGGTCAAAGAGGGCATTGAAGGCCTCGAACTCGCTCAGAATCGCGTCGTGGAGAATCTCGTGGATCGAGACGCAGCAGGCGACGGACGCATCGCGCTCCTTGGCATGCCGACGGAAGAGCAGCACCATGTGAACGACCGAATCCACTTGGCCTTCAGTCGCGGCCTCGAGCTTCTCGTTCGGCCGCAGCAGTGCAAACTCGTTGTAGTAGGCGCGGCCGGGCTTGCGCAGCTGGACCCACCCGTTCGCGAGTAGCGCGTCGCAGCGCCAGAGCACAAAGATCGCGTTGAGGGGCAGCGTCGCGACCGCGCAAACCACCAAGTTCCACAGCATCAGGTCGGCGCCGAGGCGGCTGGCCAGCGCGCTATAGTTGATCGGTGTCATCGGCGCCCACGCCGTGGCTTGGCTAAAGAAGCCAGCGTAGTACAAGGACGGCCACGCCGCCATGCAGCAGATGATCCAGTCGGGCCGCGGTCGTGTGATCTCCTTGAGTAGAAGGAGGCCACGGGGCGTCTGGGTGCGCTGAAAGCCCGTTGCGTAGATGCGTTCCTGTAGCGAACTCAGTGTGCTCGAGCTGCGCTGCCGCACGGTCGGTGGTTTAACGCACGGCATCCGAACGTGGCCGTGCTCGTCGTACCAGACGCTGTTGCGCCGCGGCGGGTCGGGCGCCACCTTGTGTTTCGCCAGCTGCGTGCGCTGCGAGACGAGCGCAATGCCATACAAGAGCAAACTCAGTGCCTTGTGCATACCGAGCACGACCCAGAAGACGCTGCCCATGAGGTTGATGTAGTTGCCGTAGAGCAGGTACGTGTCAAAGCCCCAGCCCGACGTCATGAAAAAGTCGAGCGCGTTCACGGTGCGGAAGAACGCGAACCGGTTGCTCACAATCATGTACACTTCGAGGAAGTTGACGATCGCGCTGTTGTAATAGGCGGCTTGGGGCGCGAGCAGATTCGTCGAGTAGCGCACGAGCATCTTGCGCGCGCCCGTCGGCGTCGTATACGCCACGCGCCGCACAAACCCGCTTACGAGGAGGGCCATGCTCACGAGCTGGGACGTAAGCGCCGCTGCGTTGTACGAGGCGTCGTACGCGCGGTAGAAAAACCAGTTGAAGTCGCCCTCGCTCGGGTGAAAGGTCCAGAGCACGGGGTTGTTGTTGCTGGACGACATTACGGTGTCGTTGCGGAGGAGCGAGGTCGTACGCAGCGTGGTTTCAAACGCGTTGAATGTGTGCATGTGGGGGCGCCATAGCTCGAACGCCTCGAGATGGTAGAGTTTCAAATCGAGTTGGCAGTGCCCGTCGTGCGTCACCGACGACGTCATTTGGGCGACGTTGGTGGTTGCTTTGATCGTCGTCGGGAGGTTGTTGATGCCCGACCACGTCGCACTGTCCGACGGTTTGGCCAGCATGTTTGTCGTGGACCGCAGCAGCGTACTGCCGCACGGCACTGCTAGCAGCGACGACGTGTTGAGCCCAAGCGTCGAGAGCGCCATGGTTGCAAAATACGTGGCCGACCCGGGAGTCGTCATCGCATTGAGCGTCGACGTCGACGCGCCGAGGCGCATGCGCACCGAGACGCCGGTGGCCGAGAGGTTCAAGCTCTCGCGCGAAATCGGCGTCCCGTACGCGGCCGAGATGACGTCCGTATTGACGAACGGCAGCACGTGCAGATGGATCGAGAGCGTCGCCGTGTTGTAGCCGAGCACATCGTTGATCGAGTCGCCTGTCCGCATGTACTTGGTGACCGCGAGGCCGTAAAAGACAGTCATCGCCGCCGTGTTGACGATGGCCGCGATGAGCCGCGTCCACGCGCGGCGCTGCATTTTTTGCTACAAGCGACTATAAATACAGACACCAGCAGATGACGTGGCAGCGCGTGTAGGTGGCACATGACACGGTTGGTGAACAAGTCATTCGCGCACGTTTGCTTGGATGTCTGCAGGTGTCGAACGACGATGAGCTAGTTTGGTCTGTGCAATTGGAACGAAGTTGGTTGTATTGGCTGGCGTGCATCTGCATGGAAGTTTCTGTGTCGAGGTTGGGGGGTTAGGAGGCCCAGCCAGCCAAGGGTTCCCTGTCAGCCAACGTACCAGCAACCCCGGCGACGGGGGGTGAGAGTGGTAACCTAGGCTTATGCACAAGCTGCAAACGGCACACTGACAACGGGATGCTGGGAGCAGCTTTTACATTGCCATCAACTCGAGTCAGTCCACGGCATGTAGCGATGCGTGCGTCAAGCTGGCGTGCAAGCCCTGGCTTGGCGTGTGGTGGCTCGTGGCGCGCTAAAAGGAATCTCTCGATGTCGTCGATATAGCGGTGCTGCATACTATAGACGATATGCACGAGTGTTTAGGGTCCATCTTCCAGTCTTTCCCGAGCCTGCTCTTACTCCTAGTAGGACCCTCTCTGTGGGAACGTCGTGTAGTATTGAATAGGGTATCGTCGATTAGATGCGTTTGACGAGCTGCACAATGTCTTCGTCCATGAGGAGGTGCTCCTTCCCGACCTTCTGCGGCTGGTGCTTGGCCGAGAGGCCCCACACGTTGGCGTACTTGAGATCCTTGAGAATCGTCTTGTGCAGCCGGTTGCAAAAGTCCTCGATCGACGGGTTCTCCGAGTGGAGAATGACCGGCGCGTCGTAGTCGGGCAGCCGACCCTTGGGCTTGGTGTAGATGCGGATCATGTTGCAGTACTCCCAGACCTTCTCGAGGAGCTCGTCGAGGTTCCAGCCGTGGTGCGCCGAGATGAGCACGTTGTGCGGCAGCTGGTCGATGATCGTGAGCTCCTCGATCGTGAGCTGATCGATCTTGTTGAGGACGTAGAGGCACGGAATGTACACGCGGTTGCCTTCGATCACGTCGATGAGCGCGTCGACGCTCACGTCTTCGCGGAGCGTCACGTCGGCGTTGTGGATCTTGTACTCCTTGAGGATCTGGAAGACCGTGTCGTAGTCGAGCTCGCTCTGGTCGACCATGGCCTGGAAGTTCAGGCCGCCCTTCTCCTTCTTGCGCAGCACCATGTTGGGCGGCTTCTTGTTGAGGCGAATGCCAAAGCCCTCGAGTTCGTGCTCGATGAGCTTCTTGTGCGTCGCCGGCTTCATCGCGTCCAGCACCATGAGAATCACGTTGCACGTGCGCGCCGTACCCATGACCTGGCGACCGCGGCCCTTGCCGTCCTTGGCGCCCTCAATGATACCCGGCAAGTCGAGCACCTGGATCTTGGCGCCACGGTACGTCAGCGTACCAGGGATCGCCGTCAGCGTCGTAAACTCATACGACGCGGCCTCCGAGAAGGTGCCCGTGAGCTTGGTGAGGAGCGTCGACTTGCCGACGGACGGAAAGCCCACAAGGCCGACGCGCGTGTCACCCGACTTGTTGACGTCGAAGCCCTCGCCGGCGCCGCCGCCGCCGCCCGACTTGCCGCCGTCGAGCACTTCGCGCCGGAGCTTGGCGATCTTGGCCTTGAGGAGACAGAGATGCTTCATCGTCGCCTTGTTCTTCTGCGTACGATTGTACTCGGCTTCGAGCTCGTTGATCTTGGCCATGGCGGAGCTCATGCTTGCGTCGTCGGTGACGTTGCCGTCGGTCTACTAAAGGTCAAGTCCCGCGACCACCACAATTAACCTCCTGCGATGCCATTGGCTCTTCTCATCCGGCATTCCGGATACCATGCCCATCAGCAAGTCAAACGTTATTAGCTGGCTGGGTGGACATGGACCTGGCGCGCGTACGCCGACTCGCGCTTCGACTGCATCGACATGGCAGACTTCATGGACCGGAGGAGCGCCGAGCCCTTGGAGCCCAGTTTGAGGCCGCGCCCGTCCGTGCCGCCGGCCGGTGCGCGGTGCGGGTACTGCTTGGCCTTGAGCTGGTTGACTATTCGTGTCACTCAATCGCAGGCATACTGGTACGAGGAGCGTACACTTGGCGATGTGCGCGACGAAGAGTACTTTGCGCTCGTCTTCCGAGAAGGTCTGGCGCGTCTTGGCGTAGCCGTGGTAGTAGACACTGAGGAGGCAGAGGAGGCTCAGAAAGCTCATCAGCGCCGTGCCGCTGTCGTTCTGGAAGCCGGCAATGGCAACGATGACGAGGGCCCATACGGCGAGTGCGTACATCGCGCCTGGGATGCCAAACACGCTCGGCTGCGACCGCTGAATGTGCTTGAACTTGCGACGCAGCACGACGTAGCCAACGCACTGGGATGCATACCCGGTTGAGGCGCTGAGCATGCAAATGTTGAAGAGGTTGTGGCCGACGCCCGGGCAAAAGAAGACCAGCAGACACAGGAGGTACCCGACGCATGACCCGAGAAGCAGCGCGACGAGCGGCGTCTTGTGCGGTCCAAACTGGTGCGCGCACACATGCGGCAGCAGCTGCGAGCTCGCAAGCGCGGCAATGAGCTTGCCGTAGGCAAAGATGAAGCCAAAGACCGTCGCAAACGTCGCAGGGATCGCAAAGGCCGTCACGACTTGGTCCGAGAGCCCCGTGAACAAGATAAACCCTACGTCCGATGAGCTTCTCTTACTAGTATGTCAAAATGAGATCGTAGTAGCACCCGAGCTCATGGTGGCCAGGACGGTCGGGAGCTGGTCGACGCCCGGGGGAAGGCCCACGCACAAGACGACCGACACCACGGACGTGGCGAGCAGCGTCAGTATGCAGTACAGCTGCGCCTTGGGCACGACAGCCTTTGCATTCTCGACCTCGTCACTCGCGAGAGAGACCGCTTCGACGCCGACGTAGAGCCACGCGGCGAGCGGGAGGTTGGTCATAAAGGTCTTCAAGCTGCCGTCGCCATTATGGTGCGGTAAAGTCGCTGGGTACGCCACGTACGAAGCCGACCCGAGCGCCCAGAGAAGAAGAATACTGAACGAGACGACGGCAAGGAGCAGGGTCGTGCGCCAGAAGAGGGGCCCGCCGATGCCTTGGATGCAAATCGAGACGCCGTAGATGAGCAGCCAGAGCAGCGGCTGCACATCGACGAGCGACGGCGCCAAAATCAGCACCAGCTGCGTCAGCGACAGCACCGACGACGCGACGTACGCAATGTACTCTAGAATCTCGCACATGCCAACGAGAAAGCCGACGCTAAACCCGAGCGAGCAGCGCGCGAGGCCGTACGCGCCGCCCGCAAACGGCAGCGCGGACGTGACCTCGGCCACGCTGCACACCATGGTGAGGTACCCGGATCCGATGAGCGCGATCGCTGCGACGTACGAGCTCAGGCCGGCGGCGAACCCGGCGTTCCAGCAAAAGTACTGACCGCCGATCACGATCGTGATGCCAAGTGCCCACACGTCGAGCGTCGACACCATCCTCTTTGCTCTAAAACACATTCTGACGTTACCACGATCGTAGATCTTAAAGGTGTTTTTGCGGTTGACAGATATCCGAAACTTATCACTACTACGACCGGTAGTCGGCGTTGATGGCGACGTACTCGTGCGTCAAGTCGATGCCGAGCACGGTGCTCTCGGCCTGCCCGAGCCCGAGGTCGACGGTGATCTCGACACAGTGGTCGTGCGGCGGGTAGTCGTGCGACGCGACCTCGAGGCCGCCGCGCGTCGGCTCGGTGAGCTGCGCACGCTTCATGTGGCTGACGAGGAGCGCTTCGACGTCGCTGTTGAGCGCAAACTCGCCGTGCTCAAAGATGCGAAGCCCGCCCATCGAGATGCTCATCGCATCGGCGACCGCGACACCCTTGTGGTGCTTGCCCATGTACTTGCCGACCTAATGCAAGCATCGTTTGAACAGGATCAATCGAGGAAGAGAGCGCACGGCCATGACGAGGCGGCCGACGTTCGGGTCGTTCCCGGCCACGGCGCACTTGAGCAGCGGCGAGTTGACGATCGACTTGCCGACGCCCTTGGCCATGACCTCGTCGACTGCGCCCTTGACGCGCACCTGCAACGCAGAAGCCATGAGACATCGTAAAGCTGCCGCGTAGTAAGTCGTACGCGCATGACGTGGTGGGCGCCTTCGCCGTTGCGCACAATGTCTTCGGCGAGGCCGCCGCAGACGTCGTACAGCGCTGCGCGAAAGGCCTCGAGCTGCGTCGCTTCGTCAAACGGGATCTGACCGGACGAGACGATCGCCAGCGTATCGGACGTGCTCTCGTCCGTGTCGACGCTCATGGCATTGTACGTTTTCTCGACAACCTCGGAGAGGAGCGCGCGCAGCGTGTCCCGGGGCACGGCCAGATCTGACATAGATAGATGAGGACAATCGCAGCCAGAGGCGACCGGTATACCTGTGAGGATGTACGAAAGCATCGTGGCCATGTTGGGCTCGACCATGCCGGCGCCCTTGGCGATGCCGACGATGCGGCCGCCGCAGACATCCGCCGATCGAATCTTGGGGTACAAGTCTATTGGGTATCTCAGATCATCAAGCGATTGCATACATGGACTACCTGTCGTCATGATGCCACTGGCAGCTGGGTAGATGCTCGTGTCTTGGAGCGAGTCGACGACTTCGGGAATGTGCTGGATCATGGCATCGACGGGGAGGCGCCAGCCAATGACGCCTGTCGAGCTTGGTAGCACCATCTTGCCGCTCGGGAGGTCAAGGTGGTCGGCGATGGCCTCGCAGATCTCTTGCGCGTCGGCGACGCCGCCACCGCTGGCGCAGACGTTCGAGATCTTGTTGTTGACAATGATCGCACCGAGCTTCTCTTCGTTGAGGCGCGTGCGGCCCACCTTGATCGGCGCCCCGGGGCACGCGTTCTGCGTGAAGACGGCGCCAAAGAGCGGCGTCGGCACGTGCGGCTTGATGAGCGTCAGCGTCATTGTCGCCGGCAAGTGCGGCGCCTCCGCCGGCGTGAACTGGAACTGCGAGCTCCCGACAGAGAAGCCCCACGGCAGCCGCGTGTGGTGGGCCTCCAAGTACGCCCGGTACTCGGCCGACGAGTTGAAGGCGAAGACCGGCTTGGTCGAGTAGCGCACGGCCGACAGGCGCTGGAACCGGCGGAGCATCGGGCCAAAGATTTTATGACCAGAAATCAAAGATACACCATTCGATTCCATTAGGTTCGTTTGAATATGCTTGCTTTTTGTATCGTTCTATCAAGTACGCCAATGCGTTAAAAGACGTTAAACCCAGGCCGCAGGCGGTGTCGGGATCGCGAGGGCCTGCGAGGCGCCCAAGCCGACATGTAATCTTCATGAAGTGATCGGAGCGTGTGCGTACACGGGGGCGTTGAGGCCGAGTGTGTGACCATGGGTCAGAGACCTCTGGGTCCGAGATGACGTTAAAGTGGGTTTAACCTAAAAACCAAGTTGAAGCGGCAGCACCAGAGGAAATTGCACGCGGCTGGCGATGGCATCGCTGGTCAACTGGGTACGTAGCGTCGACGTGATTCGAGAAGGGTGTAAGCTTAATTGTATTGGGATATTGTTCACTGAGCTTCGTTGCGATGGGCCGTGACGCGCGCCGCGTACTCGTTCATGGCGAGCGTCGACTGCGGTGCAATCCACTCCCTACGTAAACGTCCATGAGGATGAGGACGATTGCCTGCAGAGTCTTCTGCGTACCAGAGGTAGATGGAGTGCCCGGTCGACTGCTTGGCTTTGGCGCGCACGCAGCGCAGTCGGCTGTCTTCGGCCAAAGCGGCGCGGACGCTGGGCCAGAGCTCCATGGCGTTCGTGCGGGCGTCGCCCTTGTAGCCAAGCAAATCCAAGATGGCTTCGCGGAGGTAGGCCTCGCGGACCGCAGCGTGGCCCGGCCGGTTGGACTTGGCGTGCAAAAGCAGCTCTTCTTTGGCGCAGACGACGAGCTTCTCCACCTAGCACACGGCGATGTCAGTCTTGGAGCAGGATATTCCTTGTCGTACGAGGCGGTCGTCGTCCTGCACCGACTGTGGCAGGTAAACCACGATTGCCGCCACCGACGCCACGACGCAGAGCGCAATCTAGATCTAATTGTGAGACACGACATCCGATCGGAGAGCCGACGTACGAGGATGGACGAGAGGTTCTTGAGAAAGTATTGGGCGACAGTGTGCAGCGAGAGAAGCAGATACTGGGATCGCGAGGCAACGGCGTTAGGGCCGCTGGTCATGGCGTTAATCAGTTCGCTGCCGTAGATCGCGACAGTCGCCACAGAAATGCACACCACCATGGCGATTGCGACGGAGACCATTGACAGTGGTTCGCTCTCGGGAGTCGATGGTGCCAGCGGCGACGAGGACCGGCGGTGCGAACGGAGCCGCGCTTTCATTGGCGTCAAGCGACCAACGCTGGACGACTGCGACCGCTTCTTCCGCCGGCGAAGGTCTCCTGCAGCCGTATCCAGGTCCTGTGCAGGTCCTGTGCAGTCATCGGGCTCGTGCGTCGTGCGGGAGCTGTGGTGTGCTCGTCAGGGACCGACTGCGTGTGGCGAGGGGGCGATGCTCGCACTGATGTGGATGGCTCTGCCTCGTCGTTGAACGGGGCGTAGATATTGATTTCGGGACTCGCAAGACCCATTTGCTTGAGGTGGTAGTTGGTCGCTGGCAGCACAGGATCCTTGGCCGACCGCGGCTCGGCCTTCTTCAACTTGCGTCTCTTCTCGTCCTCCTCAATCTGCTGAAGGAGTTGATGACTGCGCAACAACTCGGCTTGCTCTACCGCTCGTTGATGGCTCTTACGTCGCTCTTCCGTGCGCGTGCCAATGGGCTCGCGTTGCGTGGGCTGACGTTCTGTCTCGGCGCCGTCGTGACCACGCGCTGCTTGGGCGGCAGGCAGTGCGTGGTTGGGCTCGGCTTGCTGCACCTTCGTCTTGGCACGGAAGAGCGGCGTCGCCGTCTCAATGGTGATGGGCTGGCGGGCCTTCGGGAAGAGCGGGTACGCGTACTCGAACGTCGGCTTGCGCGACGTCCGCAGGGACAGCTTGGACGGGCGCATCATGTGGCGGGTCTTCTGGGCGAAGGCTTCAATGCGCTGGCGCTGGGCGTCGGTCTCGAGGTCACGGACGCGATGGAGCTTGGAGACGGGCGAGAGGAGTTGGGACCGCGGAGAGAGGACCACGTCCGACGCCAGCATGCTCCGACAAACCAAATTTGAATTTCCAAATTCAAAAACCGTATCCGGCATCCTCCGGATAAGAACATCACATATCGACCAATCACACGACTGGATGCTCCACAACGGCATTGGATTCGCCAGCGCCGGTACATGGACGAACATGGCCACGGGATATGGATAGACTTGTTCTTTGTATGCGCGACTCTGCCAAGACCAGGACATGGACCATAATCGTTGCACAAAGACAATTCTGTACACAGACAGAAGAAGCTGCAGACAATCTATTCATTGGAAATTGGAAGGGGTCGGGATCGAGTTGCGGATCCATGTTTCGGCCTGCGTACTCAGCGGAAGCAGATGCATGACCCGGTCGATCGGTCGCGTGCACACGTGGCAACGCTTCTCGTCTCGAAACACCTTCTTGCCGCACTCAAAACAGCAGTAGATATGGACGTAGTAGCCGTGCGCCATGCCCGCGGTGCGCGGTCGAGCTTGACAGAGAAGACACAAGGCACCCTCCTCGACACTGGCCGTCGGCTCGACGATATCGTCTTCGCTCTCGCCCACGAGCTCGTCGTCGTCGCCAAACTCGTCGTGCTTTGTTTCTTCCTCGTCGCCGTCGTCGTCGTCTTCACAGCGCCCGCTGCTCACCACGATGACGTTGCGTCTCTCGCCGTCATACTCGCTCTCGATGCTGCTCGGCGCCTCTTGCGGCACTGCCGACTCGGACGACGCGTTCAGAGCGACCGGGACGACGTCGTCCTCTTGGGCACTGTTGTCGTCGTACACTTGCTGATGGCGTCGAGTCTTGCGGACAACTCGCACATCGTCGTCTTCATCTTCGGTTTCGGTGTTTGCGTCGGCGTTCTCCCGTGTCGTTGTTTGGATCTCGTCGTCACTGGTCTCGAGCACTTGGCCGTGGGCATTGCTGGGCGGGAAAAAGCGGCTAATGTGACCTGGGCGCGACGCGATGCTCTCTTCGCTCGCGGCTTGAGATACGCCCTTCCACACGTTGCGGATTGTCTGGCCTTTGCTCCGTTGGTTGCCCTCGCCAAAGTTGTCGACAAGGTTCTCGAGCTCTTTTAGCCGCCGAAACTCGCGCTAGCATCACCGTGTAAGACATTTTCGGTGCACCGTGCCATGGAGACCTACGGCGTGCAGGCTTTTGCGAGCGTTCTCCGACGGCTTCTCCCCGTTGGCACTACATTTAGACACGTCAGTTGACTATAAGGTGGAAGAAGATCGTGCACGTACGCGTTGATCATGCGCAAGATGAGCTCGCACCACTGAAACTTGGCTTGATGGAGACTCCAGTAGAGCAAAACCCGCTACATACACGTCGTTAGGCTATGTGCACGAGATTGGTTTCGTCGGTACGTTGAAGCACACACTACCAAGAACGAAGATATCCTTGTCCAAGCGTGGCTCCTCCCGGCACGCTTGGAGGCTAGACAATGCACGAAGATGATGATATCGGCTCGATCGGCGAAGACGAAACACGTACTGAGTGGACCAGCCCGTCTTGTACAGCTCGGAAGCGCCGCAGCGGATGCCCGAGAAGCGGACCTACGCGTGGGTTCGTCAGTGTGCAACAGTATTTGGGCAGTGGCGATGCGCGAGTGCCTACTCGTATCGACGCGAGGTGCTCCGAGCGCTCGCAGGCTTCGCAGTTTTTGGAAAACTGGCCCGGAACGTGACTCAGTGACGGGCAGTGCTCGATTGCCTGGACGAGGTCGTCTGGCCACTTGACCATGCCCCGGAGGCTGTCTCGCCGCTGGCACAGCGCCCGCTCCACCTAAGGTAAGGATGCATTAGCTGTCACTCGATTCGCGTGGCGAGCCTACATGGTTCTCGGCTTCGAGAAAGATCTTGTTGCGGTTGTTGGTTTCGAACGCCGGGTCCATCTACGACACGAGCTTACGAGAGGCTGTTGAGAGGATGCGAGCGTACCATGCAGTGCTCCAGGTAGTCCATGTAGATGGAAAACCACTCGTGGCGTTCACGGGACATGCGCGACGCACGGTAGGCCTCGATATCCTCTTCTTCGCTGTAGACGTGTTCCTCGTTGTCTTCGTCGATGCCGTTGGTCGTTGCGACTTCGTCGTCGTTCATGTACTCGATGTGGTTGTCGTCGACAATGAAGTCGTCGTCGTCTTCCGCGCTGGCGTCGCCGTCACCAGCCGAGTCCGACGCTGCAGCGAAAACCTCTTCATCCTCTTCATCTTCAGTTGTCTTTAAGCACGTGTTGAGCGTCGCAAAGGCCAGCGGCTTCTTCTTCTTGGGGGTGGTCGAGAGCCGTCGAGAGGACCGGCGCGGTGTTGAAGACGAGAGCGACTGGCGCCGGGGCGGGGCGCTGGCTTCTCTTCTTCCGTGTCGATCTCGGTCACAGGTTTGTCGTCGTCCGAGTCCGAATCGAGAACGACGAGGGCCTTGCGCTTCGCTACGCTGGACGAGACGTCGGGCGAGTCGTCGGGGACGTCCGAGTCGTACTCGGTGATCCGGCGCCGCTTCGCCATGCTCGGCGCGGGTACCGACGCGGCCATGTCGCCCATGACCTCGTCGTCCTCGGTGATGCGGCGCCGGCTGGCCTTGGTAGGCGTGATGATCTCGACCTCGTCGTCCGAGCTCATTGCGTTGGGAAGATTGGGGAGTGCTACCGCGTTCAGGATTTTGACCAATCACATCGCTCCAATAAATTACCGTATATTTCCTTTAATTGTCGGAAATTCATCCCGTGCATGCATTGACGTCGCGAGGCTTCCTTCGCACGACTGTCGTGGGCGAACGAACTTGGGAAATGTGGTCGGCCCTGCTCTTCAAGCATGTGCTTGTATAGCGACGTGTTTGCGCGCAAGTCGAGTCCGAACCGGACGTTGGCCCAGACAAGGATGACCAGGGCACCAGCAACGAAGGTTGTGCATACTACTAGTTCGCGGCCGGTCACAATGCCACAACAACCGCCGCCGCCAAGCTGGTCGCCAAGAGGATTGATAGAGTATTCGTTTGCCTTCAAGGTCTTCGATCTCTGGATGTTTGTTCGACGGCTGGAGAGCCAACGCAGGCACCGCAGCTTCCGACTGTAGCTGCAGATGCAGTGCATTCTTTTGAAACCAAGACCGGTGTTCTCACCTACTAGCACTGTGCGGACGGCGTATATTCGCGAGTCTCTTGAGCTTTGCAACGCGAAGGCTGTTGGCGCCAGAAAACTGGCGTTGCAAATTACCGGTCCATTTCGTACATTTCGGAACACATTAGCATCTCTCTTCAACAGCGTATGCTGGCAAAAAGGGGCCCATGCCGCGTGTCGATTGGCTAAAATGGTGGGCGGCGGCGTCTGATTGGGCATAAAGAAAGGTGGAGCGTTGGTGGTGAAAACGCCCGCAGCTCTGGTTTTTTGGTCTCACGATGAACAGCGTCGTCCGCGTCCTGGGCCGTCTCGGCGCCACGAAGGCCGCCCCTCCCGCGCGCCTCCTCTCGGGCGTCGCCCGCCAAGGCCCCTCCATGGACACGCTCTGGAACGTCGGCTCCTTCCCGATCATGGCCACGGCCAAGCCGGCCATGATGCTCTCGACGCACGAGATGCTGCTCCACGTGTCCAACCCGGCGCTCGACGTCTTCTACCCGTCGCCGTCGGAACTCATTACGGACATGGGCCACCAGGTCGAGTACCACGCCGATAGCGTGCTCAAGAAGCGACGAAAAAAGATGAACAAGCACAAGCACAAGAAGCGCGTCAAGGCGCTCCGCGATAGAACCAAGAAGAATTAGACGACGGATGCGTAGACCTCCCGCCGCCGCCTCTATTGCGAGGCGTAACCATCAAGCAACTCGGATGATGGCCTTATTGGCTTTGTTAGCAAGCAGTCGACTTTCCATTAATACCAGTGTTAATGGTGCGCCAAGGCAATCGTATCGACATGCTGGCGAGGAGGGATGGACTGTGTACGTCGTTGTTGTTGTTGTTCATTTCTACACTACGCTGCCGGATTACAACAGCGTGACGTTGTGTCGGGGCGTGAGCGCGCCGCCAGCGGCAGAGCCCGGGCCAGGCGTCAGCATCTCTTCACCCGCAGGCGACTCGAGGTACGATGGCGACTCGCGCTTCTTACCGAAGAGGAAGAGGCCACCAATGAGGGCGAGAAGGACAACCGCGCCGATCGCGATCAAGACGATCCACTTGGTTTCCAAGCCCGAGCTCGAACTGTCGGTGCTGTCGCCACCGGGGTTCATCGTAGCAATGTTGTTGGGGTTCGGGTCGGCTTGAGCGTCGTCGCGCCGGGCGTCAACGTCGTCACGTCCGGCGACAAAGTCGTCGCGTTCGGTGACAGAGTGGTCGCATTCGGCGACAAGGTCGTGGCGTTCGGTGACAGCGTCGTGGCGTTCGGTGACAGCGTCGTGGCATCGGGCGACAGCGTCGTCTCGGTAGGGGTCGTCGTCACGGGCGACGTCGTGGTGTCGGCGCTCGTCGTCGGCGCCGGCGTCTTGTAGGGCGCCGGCAGCGGGCCCACGCATTGGACGTTGTCCGTCTTGGGCTGGCAGCCCATGATGTTGCCGTTCATGACGCCGCAGCACGTTTGCATCTGGAGCGTCGTCGTGCCATCGACGTTGGGCTGGCCTTCCTGGGGGCAAAAGTACTTGCCAAAGGACTGGCCGGGCGTGTACCTGCCCGAGCACGGCTCGCCGCCGACGCAGTAGACCGTGCCACTGTTGAGGAGCGAGACTTCCCACTGCCCGTCCGGGCACGCGCTGTGCGTGGCGGCCACGAAGGCGGCCACGAGTACCAAGTAGAGCGACCGCATCAAACCTGGTGGTTGTTTCGTAAATGACTTGGCCTGAGTATAGCCGGCGTCAATTAGTAACCCCGATGCACTGGCTACTGCCCTCCCACCAATCGCATCGCACGGCGCGATCTGTTTTGAAGGAACACCAAGTCTCACAAGTGTCCTTGGCCCATGCGGCCATGTGCTCCAGGTACAGCGCGGCTTGACGTGCGACCGAGCCTTGGTAAGCTTGGAGCTTGGCTCGCCACCGTGTTACAGAGGCGGGACGAGTCGGCGGCGATGGCGAGCTCTCGGCACCAGTACACTGTACGAAGATACGGTATTCAGTCTTGGGGCTAGGCACATGAGTGATATGCGCGTGCGCCAAATATTCCCAACAGCGATGGTGTTGCCGAACTGCGGTGTACCTCGATCGATGCAGCGACCGCGGTGAGCGAGTAGACGAAGAGTGAGACGACGCTGAGAAGTACAAGTGCAAACGAGACAGCTACGAAAGATACCGCAAGCGACTTTGGCGCGGATCTTGTTAGACAGGAGATTTGTATGGGTCTGACGACGTGGTGTAAAGTTCGATCACCCAATCATTCGACGCGAAGAGACGCGGGAGCCAATCAGCGCATCGTCATCGGCCATGTAATGCGCTTGTTTTTGACCATCAAGAAGAATCCTCCGCGATGGCTTTCTGGTTCGATGCACCACCACGCACCGCACTCCGTCGCTGCTGCTGCTAGATATCGATGGCTCGCTCTAGCATCGATCTCGCCCGCTGCCAACCGGCCGCCGGGATGCTCCGCTGCGAGTTGCAAGTTCATTGCCACGTCCGTCTGCTGAGATACGCTGCATCAATGGTTGTGATCTATTTGGTGCTGGCAATTAGACTCCGCGTTTCCACGGTGACGCGGCCGCGCGACGACCATCATTGAACTACACCCTCCACGGGATTGGCTATAATGCAGCCAATCCATGATTTTTGTCGAATGCTGAGCTGCAATTGGTCGAGCCGTTCAGCGCGGACAACACAACCAACAACGAATCTGAGTGAGCGATCTGAGGAGTGCGTTGTAGCCACGTCAAGCGGCCACGCTTTCATGTAAGCTTGTGGAGCCCAAGCATGCGACCCGGGCTCAATTTATACACTACATGCCCGTCCATACATTGCATCTCGATTCGCTGTATGGCCATGCAAGGTATCGAATTGGCGTAGCTACAATCTCGGTATCGGGTGCCACGTAAAGAGGGTCGTTCCATCGTGTGCAGTCTAGTTGGTAGCTTGCATAGACCGGTGCTGCTTACACTAGGAGCTAAACCTCAGCATCGAACCAGTGCTGCACTAGCTGCAATTTGGTATGATTCGCACCCCCGTAAGAAAATAGGGCATAAACTTGTGAATTCTCTCGATTCAACCAAGATAACAATCAGGGATCGCAGTGCATCCAGCGTTGTCCGGTGTCCCATGTCACCGATCTCTCGGTGCTTCGATTTCCACGTGCGCTAGAAATGACATCTACTGCAACATTTGCGACCCAATTCTCTACGACATCTCGTCACCGCCTCATCGAGACGCAGACGACGTCATCACCCGTACCTCGCGGGCGCCCTCGACCAGATATGGATGTGTCTGTTGTGACGACCGTCGCCGCGCAGCGAACGCTGTGGCACGCGTGTCCCAAGATGCCGCGAATGCAGCAGGTGCGTTTGTTGGTCTAGCGCAGGGTTGGTAGCAGTCGACACTTGGCAGCAACAAGTGTGTGCGCAGAGCCCTGAGTATTGTCCGTCAAGAGTGAACAGATCGATATGGCGAGGGAAGGAAGCGTGACCTCGAGACCCACAAGTCCACCGTCAATGCCTCGTACTGTCATTGACAGCATGATGTCAATGACAGTGTCCTGATCTTGCGCTGTCATCTACACGCACCCACGCACCATGCACGACAGGGAGCGAAACCAAGACGATCAACGCAATTGACCGTGCCGACTCGTCGTCAGCACATGCTTTGCATGAACCTCGATGCGCTTGGACGAGGCTCAACAGTTCTTTTGTACCGTCTATCTTTACTGGTGACGCAGCAAAGGACCATACTAGTATACGTCACTACGTGACCACGAGCTGCTGTCCACATGCCCCAACGACGCGTCGTGGATGCTGCTGCAAGTCTGTTCAAACTGTGCATTAATGTACGTCTATTGCATTTACAGGGCCGTCTACACTCAGCACGCTGGCGGGCACGCGTAGACCACATTGCTGTCGAGCTTGACGTTGTTCGCACCTACAACTGCGCGTGAGCCATGGATTGCAGTGCTAGCGACGCACGTTGTTTGAGAAAATCGTAGGCGGCCAACGCGTCAAAGCCGGGAATCGCTGCTGCGGGGGGTGCCATATAACTCGTGCGCCGCATTTCGTGCTTTTCATGGGCCGTCGCGAGCAGTCGCAAGATCGCACTGCTCTCTGCGGGCGGCGCAACGACGGGGCACTCGACGTCGCCGACGACGAGAACGTCCGATGATGCGTCATGGACGACAACCCGGCCCTTGACGTCGTAAACGGAGCACGCGACGTCGACGACACAGGCGTGGGGAAATATGTAGGCGACCGAGTCCCCCGATCGCAGAGGCGGTGTCAGCACCGTTGCATCGGCACTGTCCGGTGCCGACACTGTCAGTTGCAACGCGTGTTCAACCATGCCCAGCGCACTCACCGACCAGACGACCGTCTCGCCTGCCATGATGTCGAGGGTCGTCGGGACAAATTCAAAGTGGTCCAATGCAATCTTGGCGGCTGCGCCCTGGTCCGTCGTGACGGGACCGAGTACTTTGACGGGTGCTACTGGGGCGACGACGGAGATCGTCGGTCGCACAACGTCCGGCGCACGCGTCGACCCGACCTTCTTGCGCGCCGCGCGGTCCTTTTCGGAAAAAGTGCCTTCCTCGTCGTCCACAGTGCCATCTCCTTCTGCGTCCAGCTGTGCTTTCGGCTGCTTGGCCCTCCACACGGCCAGTTGCTTCTGGAACGGTCCCATTGCTGACGACGAAGGGCGTCGACGCGGCTGGGTTGCACGACGCGGGTAGTCTGCGTAGCACTGGTTGCTCTTTGCCTCGGTTGTCGACAAGGACGCAACGACAACGATGGATCCTGTCATGAACGAGTACAAATTGCAGCCATACGAGACCGTTCCGAGTGACGAGCATTTGTGCTCGAAGACAGCGCCGGGTGTGTCGAGCGTCGGTGAGTCGACGAACGCGTCGCCCAGCGCCAACGTGATTGCGTGCACGGCCTCGTTCGCCGCGCCGACTTGCCATCGCACCGTACTGCCGATGGGCACGATGAGGCGCGGCGGGTGGAACTGCAAGTCGCTGATCGTGACGACGTAGACGATGGCGGGCGTCGCCGCAGCTGGCGCCAGCAGCTTGGTCGCGACGGCCATCGGCGTAGGCTTCGCGGGCGGGCTGTCCTCGATGACCTTCTTGCGGTAGCGTAGGGTCAACGGCTTCTTTGTCGCTCGCATGGTTGGGGATCTTTGTCTTTCTACCCGTTGGCAACTGAAGGGACGCAGCAACATGTTCCAAGATTTCGGCCAATCCAAACTCGCGACACGCTGTGATTGGGTGAAAACAAATCTAGAGCTTCGAGTTGGCGCCATCGATTACGACTCCGCCGATAATAAGATTTCTTATTGACCCTTACCATATCGGATAGTGGAACGTCCTGTGCTGTGGGCCGTGCCAGGGGTAAGACGTGGTTGTTGCCAAGTGACCAAGGCGAGCATGCACACAACATGAAATGTGTATTGATGGGACTTCGGTTGCAAACTGAACTTAAAGCACGAGATAGCTCGCCAGCCCCAACGCAGCAAGTGTGAGAGTCCAGCTCAAACGAGCCGAGGCTCCTTCCGCGCCGGATTTGCCAAGGAAGTTAGCGTTCCCGCCTGGCGTAATCGTAGCCGGCACGCTCGTTGGATTTGAAGGCTCTGTCGTGGTTGCCTCCGGAATGTCCGTCGTTGCCTCTGGGGCGTCAGTCGTGGGCTCTGAGGTGTCTGTCGTGGGCTCTGGGGCGTCTGTCGTGGCCTTCGAAGAGTCCTCAGACGCTGTTGGCGTGACAGCAGAGGTTGACGGTGCTCCGGTTGGCGACACGGGAGTGTCCGTCGTTGGCGCCGGCGCCTCGGTCTCGGGTGCTGCCGTCTCGTCTGTATCATCAGGTGTCTCCTCGGATACGTCAGGCGTATCCTCCGATTCGTCAGGCGTATCCTCCGGCTCGTCAGGCGTATCATCGGTTTCGTCAGGCGACTCCGTTGTGCGAACTGGTGTCTGCAGGCTAGGCGATGGCGTCGACGGGGTTGTAGCGGTCGTCGGGCTTGGCGTCGTCGTGGGAGCTTCGGTCGTCGGTGTGGGCAATGGTGTCGACAGTGCGGCCTCGGTGGTCGCAGCACCCGTCTCACTTGGCGTCGGGCTTGGCGTCAGCGTCTCCTCGTTAGGCCGTGAAATCGCCGGGGCGTCCGTGGAAGCGTCAGTTGGCGCAGGCGTTATTACAGGCGTCGGTGCAGGCGTCGGAGCGTCTGTGGGAGCGTCCGTTGGCGCATCAGTGGGAGCGTCCGTTGGCGCATCCGTGGGAGCGTCAGTTGGCGCATCCGTGGGAGCGTCC